TACTTAAACTGGCCGGAGACAGGACGGGAGGCAGGACGCCGGCGCAGCTCTCCGCGTCCTCGGGGTCGGAGGAATCGCCGACCCAGTCCAGGTCGACGGCGGAGATGTCCGAGTGCGTGCTGTAATACATCCGGCTGCCGCTGCCGCAGGCGGCGCAGAGAATGGGCCCACGTAAGTAGTACTCCCTGAGCTCCGGCACCGTCGCCTCCTCTCTCTGATCCGCCTTGACGGCCACCATCTTCCCGTAGTGGCCCACGGCCACCACGCAGTCACAGCCAGCATCTCCGAAGAGCTGCTCGTCCTCGGCGTCCTCCGCCGCCCTCCGCTCCGTTCTCAAGGCCCCGATGAAGACGATGGGTTCCTCCAAATGATGGAGGATCTTGACGGGAGGTTCTTGGTTCGAAACGTCGTGGCAGCCGTCGACGGCCGGCGAAGAGCTGAGGACCTTCAGCGGCACGGAGCAGAGCTGTCCGTCCGGGAAGCCGCAGAGGATCATAGGAGAGTCCAGCAGGGCAGCGTCGATCCCGAAGAGCAGGCTGAAGAGGGGCTCTTCCAGCACGAAGCCCCCCGAGCACCACAGCCCCTCCCCGGACCCCACGGTGCCGGGGGAGGACGCGCAGCACAGGACGGGCAGGAAGCGGGAGGGCGGGCCGTCCCCCTCGTCCCCGGGCTGGGGGCCGGGGCAGAAGCCCACCTCGTTGACCTGCCGGTACGGGGGACTCTCCTGCTCGGGGTGCGGAAGCTCGTGCAGTTTCATCCACCATTTGCCGTGAGCCTGGGACAAGGTGATGACGAAGTTGTTGAGCAGAGTGAACATGCACAGGCTGGAGTCTGGGAAGATGCAGGCGTCCGAGTCCACGGGAAAGACGCCGGAAGGGCAATTGCTTTCTTGGCCGTCGCCGTCCGTCTGCTCCATTAACCTTCAAGCAGAGAGGGAAGAGCTCTCAGCCAAGCCATGGGGCGAAGCCAGCGCTTCCCTTGGCCGCCTCTTACCCTGGCCCTCAGAAACGAGCTCCCCGCAGCGCGGCTTTTAGCGTCTGCTGCGAGAGCGGCGACCCGGAGAGAAGCCAGAGCTCCAAAGCGCTTAACTCGGGGAGGACGGGCAGGGGGAGAGGGACGGGCAGGGGGAGAGGGACGGGCAGGGGGAGAGGGACGGGCAGGGGGAGAGGGACGGGCAGCGGGAGAGGGACGGGCAGGGGGAGAGGGACGGGCAGCGGGAGAGGGACGGGCAGGGGGAGAGGGACGGGCAGCGGGAGAGGGACGGGCAGCGGGAGAGGGACGGGCAGCGGGAGAGGGACGGGCAGCGGGAGAGGGACGGGCAGCGGGAGAGGGACGGGCAGCGGGAGAGGGACGGGCAGCGGGAGAGGGACGGGCAGCGGGAGAGGGACGGGCAGCGGGAGAGGGACGGGCAGGGGGAGAGGGACGGGCAGGGGGAGAGGGACGGGCAGCAGGAGAGGGACGGGCAGCAGGAGAGGGACGGGCAGCGGGAGAGGGACGGGCAGCGGGAGAGGGACGGGCAGCGGGAGAGGGACGGGCAGCGGGAGAGGGACGGGCAGCATCACCGCCGTCGTGGGAAGCAGCCCCGGGGCTCTGGGGCTACCAGAACGGCGCTGGCTCGTGCCCCCGGGGAGGGTGATGACCCGCTCACCTGCTCTGCTGCTCCAGGGAGACGCAGTAAATGCCACTGTGGGCACAGAGGATGTAAAGCTGCCGGGGTTGGGGCAGCAGCTCCACGTGCCACACCTGATCAGGGCACCGGTACACGGCCTGGGTGGGGAAGAAAAAGAATTGTCACCCGGAGGGGACGGAGGCGAGCCCTGCTCACCCGCGCGGGGTGAAGAAATAAAACCAAGCGCTGGGCGACCCGAGAGCAACTGGGAATTGAAGCAGGTAATTCCTGCAAGAGCAGATTACAAAGAGTTCCCCCAGGATGGATCGCGGGGCGGCCGCGAAGGGGGGTGATGGGGCAGCCCGTCCCTCGCCCTCCCCGAGGGGAAGGGAAAGAGCGATCAGGAAGCCGGTACGCGCTCTACTTTCCTGAGAAGGAGCGCAGTGTAGGAGGCAAATCCTGATATTACAGCGGTGGCTTTCTTAGACGTGATAATAAGAACAAATTAAAAAAAGAAGCTGTGTATAACTCAACACGACGACCGCTGTTAGTCACAGCAAAGACAATAGCAAAAACCTTTGTAGGTGAGAAATGAGAGACGTCACTTCGCTCGGGGAGGGGAAAAAACCCTTTCTACTTTAATTAAACGTTTGTCTCATAAACTCAGGAGAAGGGCAGCACCCCCCGCCCCAGAAGGGGCCGAGGAGCCAGGTGAGGGGGGTCTGGAAATTTGGTTGTGGATGGGAGGGGGGGGGGACTGTGGGAAGGATTTTGCCCCTCCAAGAGTGGGCGATCGGTGACCCGACCGGCGTCCCCGTCACCTTCACCCTGCGCTGGGACATCAGCCCTACGGGACGCCGTCCCCGCAGCACCCTCCTGGGGGGTCTGTGTGTATGGGGGGGGGGGGGCTGTGGGGTGAAGCCCCCCCCGCCCCCCTCCGTCCTGCCAGGCCGCTCACCTTCAGCACTTTCCCCTCCTGGTCGTAGACGTAGACGAACTCGCTGCCGTTGGAGAGGTAGATCTCGTTCTCGTGGCACAGCACCCGGGGCTTGCCGGCCACCAGCCCCCCCACCGGGCAGCAGAAGCCGGCCAGGTAATCCACCCTGTGCCCCACATGCGCCATGGTGCCGGGAGCGCGCGGTGCCAGCCTGGGGGGTGCGGGGATGGGGACGGGGCGGGGGGTCAGGGCTTTTTTTTTTTTTTTTTTTTGAAAGGGGGGGCTCCCCACGCTCGAGTGGCTGCCGAGGGGGGAAGGGACCCCCTCTGCTGAGCCCAGCACCCCCCTCCCAGGGCTGCTGGCAGCCCCAGCCGTGCGGTTACCCAGTCCCACAGCCCGCCCCCCCCCCCCAAACCCACAGCCACCCCCCCAACCTCCCACTCCCAGTCCCATCCAAGCACCAACCCCAGTCCCCCAACGCGCCCATTACCAATCCCAGCCCCCCCCCAGCCCAAATTCCCACAGCCCCCCCCAACCCCCTCAGCCCCACACCCATTCCCCCCCCAACCTCCCACTCCCAGTCCCCCAACGCGCCCATTACCCATCCCAGCCCCCCCCAGCCCCAATTCCCACAGCCCCCCCCAACCCCCTCAGCCCCACACCCATTCCCCCCCAACCTCCCAGTCCCCCAACGCGCCCATTACCCATCCCAGCCCCCCCCCCAGCCCCAATTCCCACACCCCAAATCCATCCATCCATCCATCCATCCATCCATCCATCCATCCATCCCGCCCCACACCTCGCCACCCCCCCAGCTCCACCCACCCCCTTTCCCCAGCCTCTCCAACCCTCCACCTCCCCCCCCTTTACACATTTCCTTCCCCCCCCCCCCCCCCCGTTCCCTCCCGGTGGGGCTGCGGGTACCGGGCGGGGGGCGCGGGCGGCTCCGCTTTACGGCTGCGCGGCGGCCGCCGCAATGGGCGGGGAGTTTGCGACAGAGGCCGTAAAGCCGCGATGGGCGGGCCGGGGCCGGTACGGGGGAAGGATGGGTGGGTGAAAAAAAAAAAAAAAAAAAAAGCAAAAAACCCAAACAACAAACCAAGCCCACACACCCCAAAACCACCCCCCAACCCCCCCTCCCGGGGCGCGGGGACCGGCGAGGGCGCAGAGAGGAGCGAGGTGATACCGGCGGCAGCAGCTTTATTAACGGCGAGTGGGGGACCGGGGCCTGTCCCTGCCCCACAGCCCCCCCCCACCGCGTCCCGTCCCGTGGGGTGGGGGTGTGGGATGGACATCCCCCCCCCCCCCCCCCCCCCGATTTAGCTGTTTTCCCCCCGGTGCGGGGGCTGGGGGGGGCTGGGGGGTCTGCGGGCGGGCTGGGGGGGGCGGCGGGGGGGGGCGCGGGGGGGGCCGCGGGCGCGGCTGAGCTGGTCCACGAAGGCCTCGACCTCGGCGAAACGCGCCGACAGCCGCCCCAGCTGCTCCTTCAGGCCGCTGAAATCCCGGTACAGATCGTCCAGAGCCCCCGAGAGCGACCGGATCCTGCGTGGGGGGAGAGTTTGGTGGGGGTGAGGCCGCGGGAACCAACCCCCCCCCCCCCAAACCCCCCCCCACCCCCCCCCGGGGCCGGGCTCGCCGCCCCCTCCTCACCTCCCGTAGTCGGGCAGCACGTTCTGGTGGTCGAAGAGCAGCAGGTTCCTCATCTGGGAGGTGATGGCGAACTTCCAGTTCTCCAGGACCAGCGTCAGGTTGGCGCAACCCTTTGCCGGTGCCCTCGGGGCTTGTGGGGGGGACACACACGCACAGAGGGGGTTGGCACCCCAAAAACCATCCCACCCCCCCCACCCGGCTGTGGGAGCCCCGAGCTGGTGATGGGGAGGGGGGTTTAGGTTGAGTTACCGTCTGCTCCGCCGTCCCACGCCGCCGGCTGCCGCTTCGCCTCGACGGCACAACCCAGCGCCGCGAGGAGCAGGAGGGGAAGGAGATGCGACATGGCCACGACTGTGGGGAGAACGGGGGGGGTACCCCAACAGTCCCGGGACAGGCACCCCGAGGGCGTCGTGTCCCCGAGGGCTGAGCCGGGCACGTGGGAGTGGGAACCCCCTTTTTTTTTTTTTTTTTTTGCCTCCGACCCGGGCGGAGGTGCGGGACGAGGCGGCCGCTCGCTTCTCCCGGCTCTGGCTTCGCGCCGGGGTTTCTCTTCCTTCCCCCTTTTTCAACCCGCGGGCCTGGCGCCGGGCCCGGCCGCACGCGGCTCCAGCGCTGATTGCAAACAGCCGCAGCGGGACGGGGCGTCGAGGTGATGGGGCACAGCGTGTGTGCGTCGTGTGTGTGTCCGTGTCCCGTTCCACACCACCCCCCCCCCCCCCCAACCTTCCTAAATCCACCCCACTGGGAGCGAGCGGCGTGTCCCAGCCCCGGTGCGTAACAGAGCGCGGGAGGCACGGCGCTGGCTCGCGTTTCAGGTGCTTTTATTCAACGTTCCGCGCAGAACCCCGCGCCCGGGTCGCTCCGGCCCAGGCACCGCACTCCGCTGCAACCCCAAACGCCAACAAAACCGAGGAAGAGGAGGTGGTGGAGGGGGGGGGGGGAAAAAAAGCAAACCCACGAGCCCAGCGCCGGCTGCTCTGTTAACACCAGCGGGATAGAGCTGGGGCAGGGGGGGTGCCGGGGGGGGGGGGGCCCTGCCCAGCTGGAGAAGGCAGCGACAACGCTGTGCTGGCGTGGGATGGAGCCTCCTGCCTCCCTCCCCGGAGCGGGGTGCGGGGCCCTGGGGGGTTTAATGAAGGTCTGAACCTGCAGCGCTGGGGCTGGGGGGGGGGGTCCAGGCTGGTGCAGCAGGGGTCAGGGAGCCTGTGAGGGGAGGGCTGAGCTCCCCCCCCCCCACAAGCAGCCTGGCCTGGGGGCAGCCCCCAGGAGGGGTTTAAAGGGGAGAGGGAGCTGCAAGAGGGTGACTTGACCCCCCCCCCCAGCTCTAGGGGGGATGCAGGCACAGGGAGGGGGGGCTGGCTCCTGGCACACTGAAGCCAAGGTGGGTGCCCATATTACACCACTCCCCACCCCCCCGCCCGGCTTCGCTCGCAAGGAGGGGGAAGGAGCTGCTGCCCCAAGCACCTCGCCCCCTTCCCCGGGAGCTGAACCGCTCCCTGCGGGGTGACGCAGCGCCCAACAACACCCCCCCCCCCCCTTCCCCTCCCCATCCCACGGTGCCAAGCCCAGAGCTGGTACATGCCCACCCCGTGCCTGGTGCCAAAGTGGGGGGAGTGGGTGGGCACCCCCTGCCCCGCTCCGGGAGCAGTGCCCACCTGGCAGAGCTGTTGTCCGGCCCAGTGCCGTTACTGGGGTGTCTGGGCCGTTATTGGGGGTGTCTGGGCCGTTACTGGGGAAGCTGTTGGTACCCAGGGCTGGCGGGCAGGGAAAAGGGGGAGCAAAGCTGCTGGGGGGGGGGGGGTGAAGATGCTAAACCCTCCCCTGTGAGGCTGCTTTGGGCAGGCAAAGGGGCAGGGAGGGAGGTGCCCTGGGGGGCCACAGCCCCCTCCCAGAACCCCCCCAGTGCTCAGCTGGGAGCAGACTGGGACAGCCCAGCCCTGCTGCAGGCAAAGGCTGAGGTTAAGGGTTGGTTTTTTAGGCTGGGGTTGGGGGGAGGGCAGCGTCGAGATAAAGCCAAGGCGCCCAGCTCCTGCTGCGACAATGGGGCTGCCCCCAAAATGGAGCGAGGAGTTAATGGGGGGGGGGGGGGGAAATCACCCCCTGCCCAGCTCCGCACACCCCGGGGGTTGGGGGGGGAAGCAGAAGGGAGGAGGGGGAAGGGAGAAGCACCACTCCTGCTGCTCGAGGGTTTGCTCTGTATTGGAGGCTGCCGGCGGGGCTAGGTGCGGGGCAGGTTGCACATGTCGCAGTGGTCCATGCCCGGCTGGTTCATGAAGGTGCAGTGCCTGCAGGACCAGACGGCCGCCGCCGCGCTGTGCGTCGAGCCGCCCATGGCCCCGTACTCCTGCAGTCCTGAGATCTGGACACCCACTGTGCCTGCGAAAGGGTGGGGTGGGGGGGTGGAAATAAAAAGGAAAAAAAAGAAAGCCAAAAAAAAAAAGGAAAGAAAAAAAAGGAAAGAAAAAAAAGGAAAGAAAAAAAAGGAAAGAAAAAAAAGGAAAGAAAAAAAAGGAAAGAAAAAAAAGGAAAGAAAAAAAAGGAAAGAAAAAAAAGGAAAGAAAAAAAAGGAAAGAAAAAAAAGGAAAGAAAAAAAAGGAAAGAAAAAAAAGGAAAGAAAAAAAAGGAAAGAAAAAAAAGGAAAGAAAAAAAAGGAAAGAAAAAAAAGGAAAGAAAAAAAAGGAAAGAAAAAAAAGGAAAGAAAAAAAAGGAAAGAAAAAAAAGGAAAGAAAAAAAAGGAAAGAAAAAAAAGGAAAGAAAAAAAGGAAAGAAAAAAAAGGAAAGAAAAAAAGAAAAGAAAAAAAGGAAAGAAAAAAAAGGAAAGAAAAAAAAGGAAAGAAAAAAAAGGAAAGAAAAAAAAGGAAAGAAAAAAAAGGAAAGAAAAAAAAGTCAAAAAAAAGTCAAAATAAGTAAAGTCAAAATAAATAAAGGCAAAAAAAAACACAAAGAAAAAAAAGGCAAAGAAAAAAAAGGCAAAGAAAAAAAGGCAAAGAAAAAAAAGGCAAAGAAAAAAAAGGCAAAGAAAAAAAAGGCAAAGAAAAAAAGGCAAAGAAAAAAAGGCAAGGCAAAAAAAAAAGCAAAAGGCAAAAAAAAGGCAAAAAAAAAGCAAAGAAAAAAGGAAAGAAAAAAGGAAAGAAAAAAGGAAAGAAAAAAGCAAAGAAAAACGCGGAAAAAAATAAAAGAAAAAAAAGGCAAAAAAAGGCAAAAAAAAAAAAAAAGCTCAGTCAGAGCAGGGCAGGAAGCTCTGGGAACAAGCGGGTCCCCCCCCGCCTAAACCCAGAGCGAGAGGTTCCTGTCCCGCTGCAGGCAGGGGCCCCCCCGCCCAGGCTGGCACCCAGGTGTGGGCGCATCCCAGCACCCAAAGCCCCGCTGGGTGCGACAGGGGCTGCTCAGGGCCCGAGGAACAGCTGAGCCCCCACGGCACAGCGCGGTGCCAGCCTGCGGGACAAGGGACAAGGGACAAGGGACCCCCCCCCCCCCGCCGCCCCCCCCCTTCCTTACTGCAGAGCTGCTCAATGGTGGCCCACTGCTCTGATTTTTTCCAGGTCTGTGCAAGCTCCTCATTCTTGGTCCTCACGGCTTCTAGCAACAAGCTGATGCTGTCCTGTAAGTCAGAAGAGGGAAATGAGCCCCGGAGGCGCCTCGCTGTCCCCCTCCAGCAGGCACAGCAGGACAGATCCGCGGCTCCGAGCTGCCGCCCCTTTCCAAAAAGCCCTTTGGGTTGCAGGCAGCAGGACGCGGCGTCTCCCCTCTGCTCCCCCCTCAGCATTCAGACGTCCCCTAAACCCCCAAGCGCTCCCCTTTCCGCCGCGGGCAGGTTATCACCCCACCAGGCTGCAGCCCACCGGCGCCGCGGGCTGAGCCTGACACCCCTGGGGGGGGGTGGGTTGCAAACCCCCCCCCCCCCCCCAGCCCCGTGCACGGCCCCGGCCTGATCTCCAGCTGCCCAGGGTCAGCCCGGCTGCCCCACACATGCGCGATCCCCGGCGCCCTCGAAGCCTCTGGCAAACACGTGGCCCCTTTTTTCGCTGGCGTGCCGCTTGCGCCGGGGCCGGCGGTGCAGATGGGAACGGGGCGGGGGGGGGGGGGGGGGCCCTGGGCAGCCGCCAAGCCCCCGCTGCCCGGCCAAGAGAGGCAGAGCTGCACGGCCAGGAAGTCGTTGGCCTCAGCGTGATTTGGGGGCTCTGATCTCGTTATCGTTACAACAGGAATTTCTGAGAGATTTTTTTTTTTTTTTTTTTGTTAAATGTTTCCAGCTCTCCCGAGCCGCGGCCAACTTGGCTCTGTCTGGTCTGTGACCGTGCTAACAACCGGCCCCCCCCCTCTCGCTGCTCCGAGCGGCGCGTTGAGCTCTCGGTCTACTTGGGGGGGGCTTTGGTTTCACTTTTTAAATCTCCTACCAACAGCTCAGCCTGGAAGAGCTGGGCCAGCTGCAGGGCCTGCAGCCTGGGGGGGTGGCAGTCTGGGTTGTCACCTCCCCACGGGTAAGTGACACCCCGGGAGGAGCTCCGGGTCCTGGGGACAGCGGCGCAGACACGACGCTTTCCTCCCTGTTACGTACCCGCAGAGGCATGACGTCGTTCGTGACCAGGAAGAGGAGCAGATGGAAATCGGAAATGATGTCTAGGAAAATGGAGGAAGTATTTTGGGACAGGTACGTGGCCAAGCTGTGGAAGTCCTAGAGAGAGGGGAAAGTAATAAAGAGAAGTCACTTCTCCCCCACGTGATTACTTTGGTTTCCCACTCTGACCCACTACAGCCACTGTAACGTTCCCGTCTCTTCTGGGCATCAGCTCTAACGTGGGGAGGCCCTCCCGAAATCAGATCCCAGGCCGGCTGACCGAGTTGCAGTTAAACTTCCAGAGAAAAGGATCTCTGGGTCCGCGCTCGCTCCCCTACCCAAGCACCCGAACAACCCCGGCGTGTACCGAGCGGATCTCAGCCCCAAGAGATGCTGAGCGGAGACCAGCCAGCTCAGCTCAAAGCCCAGTCCCTAAGGAAACGGCAGAAAAGGGGCGGATGGGGCCGAAGCAGCCCCTTCTTGCCCATCCTCTCCTCTTGCTCTGCTTTTGAGCCCAGGGCGCGCTCAAAAAACGAGGAGCAAAGCTGTCGCCGAGCAGCCGGCCTCTCCCCGCTCTGCCGACAGAGCCACAACGGGCAGCGACCCCTTTCTCGCGGCGGCTTCTGGAGGAAACCTTCGGCATCTCCGGCGCGGCCGCCTTCGAGAAACGAGCTGTTGCTGCTTTAAAGCAACTCGAGCCTTCTGCGTGCCGGCGACACCCAGCCAGAGCCTCGAGCTGTCCAGCAGCCGCCTCTGCTCGGGCGCTGCGGGCCTCTTGCAGCGAACGGCCTCTGGGTTTTAAAAATCCACCCAAGGAAGAGAAGCCGGCGTTCTCGGAGCCGGAGCGACAGACCTCGGTCCCGCTCCTGGCCGCAGGGAGAAGCGGGTGCCGTGGGGCTGGAACCTCTCGGGGCAGCCGGCAAGCTGCTCGGCACGCAGACGCTGCTCCGTGCAGGAAGGTGCTTGGCAAGTGAAGGGGTGATTTAAGGTCACAGGCGCAGCCCTCCCTTTGGAGGTTTTAGTGAGCGCAAGGGAGACAGACGGGTCGCCTGTATTCAACGCGGCTTCGTTAGGAACCACTCCTTACCTGAGTTTCTCCCAGCACATCGCGGTTCTCGATGGGGAATGGATTTTGAGAAATAGAAAAAGTGTAGACTGGATCCTTGGGGAAAGTTGTGGTGATCTAAAAATCCAAGAGAGGACGATCAGAGCGCTGACAGCAGGAGAGGCAAGCGGGATAACGGGAAGCAAGGCTCCCGATAGCCGAGAGCAGCCAGGGCTACGCATTAAGAGCTCAGCCAGGCAATTACAGCGGGGATCTTCCGACAGCTTTTAACATTTAAAGTGACGTTCCAGCCAGCGCACCCCTGAGCTCCTGGCAGCCGTTTCTAACGAAGCTGGAGGGAGATGTTCCGCGCTCGGTCCTGACGAGCGCAGCACGCTGCCACGGAGAGCATCCCTCTCTGCAAAGGTCACCGGGACGCAGCAGCTCCAGCGCAGCTCTGCCCCGTGCCAGGCAGCTGCTGCTGGGGGGGTGTCACCCTGGGGGTGTCACCTTAACACCGAGGGGTGATGGTGGGGGGGGGTGGGGTGGGGGGGAGAGCGCGGTCCCCACGTCTGGCCACGGGATAGCCAAGGGACTCTGCTGCTCCATTCAGGGCTGGAACAGATGCTAAAGAAAAAAAAAAACAACAAAAAAAAAAACCCAAAACAACAAAAAACCCCCAAACCAAAACAAAAAAACCTTTGCACTTTGCTGAACAGTCAGCCTGTGCCCTGGGGGCACTCGCCCTGCCTCCTCCCTGCACCCCCTGCCAAGGGAATGGGGTAACACAACATCGCGCCCACGTTACTGAGCTCACAAACAAGCGTTTGGGCTGTTTCTGCCCTTTAAAGCAGTCCTGATTCTGGGGGCTTTAAAGTTTCGGTGTCATTTACCGACTGCTGGGCCCTGTTGGTGAAGCCCTTTGTAAGCAGAGATGCAGAAATACCTGCCAGGACAGTATTAACTGGAATAATTAATGCCTTTGTGGTTTGGGTTTTTTTTTGTTTTTTTTTTTTTTTTTAAAAAACGAGACAAAACAAGACGCCGCGGAAACGCAGCTTTCCAGGCTGCTCCTGAATGCGTGTTCCATCAATCTGTTCCCACCTCGATTACGCCGCAGGTAGCCCAGAAACAGATGCCTTTACTCCTCGGAGTAATAAACACGCTCCAGCGCCGCCGCCCGGCACGGGGAGTCCGAGGGCCCCGCACAATGGGCCCCTTGTTCCGGACAGGACGTTTCTCTGGGCGAGCCACCCGGCCCAGCGTCAGCCCCAGCGCCGCTCCGATAAGCGACGCCTGCAGCCGGGAGTAAACGGGGAGGAAGGACGAGGCAGGGGGAGCCTCGGGGCTGCCAGCTTCCCTGCGCCCGCGGGCCACGGGCAGCTGGACCAGACCAGTTGCTCCGGGTGGATTTAAATCGTTATTGGCACCACCTCTGAGCTCCAGCAATATCATCTGTCATCCGGATTATTTGCTTTCCTGCCTTCCACCGCCGTAACAGTTTCCTTTCGAGGCGAAGGGCAGAGCCGTGCCCCCGTGCCTGGCAGCGCTTGCTCACGGGCAGGCAGCAGCCCTGCTCCAGCCAAGCTGTGAACTCCCTCCCCCAAGAAAAGGCATTTCTGTACAACCAACCTGGTCTGCTGAGTCACTAAAAGGAGAGGGATTCTTAATTGCTGCTAAGAGACAGACAACTGGAGCTTTCTAATTAGCTCCCTGTGAGGTAGTGCCCGACACACGCATCCGTGGGGCTGGCTGCTTCCCCGGCTGCGTGGCCACGTGCCAGTCTGGAGCCCTGATAAGACACTTCCCAGGAAGGAGGTGCGCTCCCCGGCACCACACCGACCCCAGGGAGCCCCAAAGCCACCCCAGAGCGCGCCGCCGCCAGCACCTCTGTGCTAGAAATGCCTGGCAGCAGGAGAAAAAAAAAAAAAAAAAAACCAAAAAAAACAAACAACCTGTCTTATGGACCGCCTCCAACGTGAATTTTAGAGGTGGGTTAAGAACTTCACTCCGTCCTGACCGCCTCCTGCTAAAGCAAACGAGCGCAACAAATACTTACATCTATGATTAGGTACTCAACCGGGAGCGGGCGAGCCAGCTGTGTGATCTCGTTGCCAAACTTGTCTATGTCCTGAAAGAAGAAGAGTTTTGTTATTCCTCAGCGTGGAAGCGGCGTGAAGCCTATGGGATCCTGCCCTGGAGACGCCCACGCAGGAGCCCCGGGGACCCTCAGCTCTGGCAGATCACTGAAGGTGCAGAGACCAACCTGCTCCTACGTGGCTGGGTGCTGCAGAGCCGCCTGATTCCCCGCGGCTCCAGATCTAACTCCGTGAGCCAGGACCTCGGTTTCCTCCTGAGCCGAGGGAGTGTGTGGTCACAAACCACCTTGGTTGTCTTTGCCTCTCCGGTGGTGATGACTGAGGCGCCCGGCATTATTTAAGAAGTCTAAAATGCCATTTAAGAAGCAGTACTGTCTTAAAAAGGGAGGGACAGCGCCACAGCTGCTTTCTCAGCCAAGGCAAACCCGCCTTTCCGCAAAGCCGGCCACGAGTCTCTCGCACCAGCTCTCGCCTGGGAATCGGGAACCCAGGCACCTTCTCATACGCAGACCTGAAGAGCCGGCGTATCGCAACGCGTAAACTTGTTTTGCTTTGCCAGACGAATTGAACATAAAGTTTAATTATGGAGAAAAATGGCCAGCATATGTTCATTAATCATAAAATGACAATTAGATGTGATTTATGTCAAACATGCCGAGTTCAAACACTGCTTCAAAAATAAATTCATGAGAACTGACACTTTTCATTAAAGATCCTGTAAGAGGGGGTTGTATTTTCTACCTAAATCATCACTTAACATGTTATAAATCATTCACTGAGCCCCATATAAATCATATGCCCATAATTTCCAATCAGGGACCTTACACTGAGGTTTACGTTTACTGAGCTCTCAGAAGTCTCAGTGGCTGGAGGCAGACCCAGAGCCGCCGCACGCCGGCAGAGCCGTCACCCCAACACCTCGGTGGCTTTAGGGGACCTCGGCGAGAGGCCGTGACCCCCGCTCCTCCGGCGGGTCCATCCCCCCCCCCCCTCCCCCGGGGGGGTGTTTTGAGTGGGATTCTTCACTCCGAGCTGGGGATGAGCTGCCCCTGGCTGACACCCTCCTCTCCCGGCGTACGCCACGCCCTCGCTATCAGCATTTCTCGGGTCCCGCTAGTGTTTGCACAGCACAAATATGCGGCGCGGCGGCCAGCACCCCGCTCTCACGCTGTGCTCTCCCAGTACACCCGGATGGACATCGCCCGAGCAGGCTCCGGCACGCTGCTCCCCTCCAGGCAACAGCCCCCTCCCCAAGCATCCTCTGTCCCTAGGAACGGTTCCCTTTGTAACCAAAAAAAAAAAAAAATCTATCTACCTTCCAGTCTTTGAAGCTCCTTTTAAAAGCAATTTCGATAAGGATCTTTTCTCCTTGAACATGACAGGTTGTTGGCCCTGTGGTTATTTCAGCAACAAGCCTGGTGGCTCGTGGCCTCAGATCTCTCTGGCTCTGACAGGAGCAGGAGGAGACGTGGAGCCTTTTTCAGGGAGATCACAGGACCTGAAAGCTAACCTGCTTCTAGATCTCGGTGATACCGCAAGAGTCAGGAATCAAATCCAATCAGACCGAATCAGCTTCCCAAACACAATCCTGCCCCGGCAAGAAAGAACCTGCAACAACTCACACATAATTAGCCCATCTGGAATTCATTTTCAAATCTAATTAAGTTCTAATATGCAGAAACATTTTTCCAGCACCTGTTCGCTTTAATCTCCGCCTCTGGGGATTTCCATGTTAAATGCCTTCTTTTTAATGTCATGCTGCTGAGGCCTTCAAGACACGCACTAGACTGTAACTACCAAGCTGGAACCTCGCTCCCCCGGCGTCGAGGACGTGTCCTGACCCCAGACAGAAAAGCCACCCCCTCCGCCTCCCCATTCTGGCACTCTTCTCCCACCCCCACGCGCCGTTTTATTAGGCAATTATGTTTTAAAGGCCCCAACAAACGTCAAGTTGGGAGAACTGCTGGGAGAAAGACATCTTCATCCTGAACTCAGCAGTCGCCGGGGCCCCAGCAGCGCCTCTCGGCGCGTTATTGCCGCAGCCCAGGAGCCCCAGGCCCCTAAAGCCACGGATGCTCAGTGGCAACCACTCCAAAGGGAGGCCAGGAAGGGGTTAAAAAAGGCGCAAGTATTTGGCTCCTGGACAAAAAAAAAAAAATCAAGCAGCGGGGCCTGGATCTGGACAGTGAATCATCCCAAAAACAGGAGCGAACTGGAGATGGCACCGGGCGCTGCGGTTAGAGCCTTTCGAGGCGCCGTTTGGAGGCAGAAGCCGCGAGCGGACGGGGTCAAAGCAGGGAAAAGGACGGGGAGCGCGGCCGGCCGGTGGCTTCGGGATTTTTCCATCGAGGGTGAGGGGAGCAGCCAAGCGAGGAGCCCGGGCGGCCATCAGCCAGGAGGGTCCCAGGTGCCCGGGCCGGTCAGCGATGGCATCCCCAGCCTTGGTCCTTCCCCGCGGGTTCTCTCTGCCGAAGGCACCGTGGAGCCGGGCAGCTGCCTGTCCTTTCCGTGCGGTAATAAAGCCCAGCCTTGCTCTTCCCTCTCCTGATTTCCAAGAGCTTTACCAGGCGGAGCTGCCCCCTCGCACAGATAGAGCGGCTGACGCGCAGAAACGAGGCGACTTTTCTAAAAAACGAGCGGTGGGGTCAGCGAGAGTTGAAACGCTTCTCAGGAGACTCCTCGTGAGCTAATCGCGCATCCTCCTCCCCAGAGCAGCTGGGACATTTAAGGCTAAGAAGGCTTTTCCAGTCCAACATGAACCGTTGGTAGGAGGCCAGCCAGGGGAAGTCCTTCGCTGTCAGTGAAAACTCCCCGCAGAAGCCTCCCCGCAGCCTGGCTATCGTGTTTCTCCCGGGAAGAGGATTTCAAAGTGAAGGGGTGGAAGCAAGGCGTGCCACGCCGGGGGACAGCCTGGCTCAGAGGTCCTGCTCGGCTCTCCTAAAAGCAGTGTCCTGGCTCAGGGCTCTCCCAGGTGGGACCACGCTTCACAGATGAGAAGCCAAGGTTCCGACCCCGCCTCAGCCGCTGTGAATGCCCAAAGCACAGGCAGGGCTCTGGGAGGGCAAAGGGCTCTTTCACAACACTGGTGCCATTGTGCAGGGCTTTCATCTTACCAAAGAAACTCGGGGGGAATATTAAGGCAGCCGTAAAATGCAATTTGTTGCAAGGATGACATCTCCATGTTTGCACTGAGCCGGCACAAATACCTGTGATAAGAGACAAAGCCAGCCAGGCCCAAAATCCAAATATTCAAGTGTTTCAGAGGGTCTGTAAAACACGGCAATCTCTCTTCCTGCATTCAGGGGGAGGTTGGGACGCCCATGAAGTTCACGGTGGAGCAGAGCACGGGGGCCCGCGGGGAGCAGCCGGGCAATGCCACAGCGAAGTTACGGGCTCGGCAGACTGACCGCAGGGAGCCCGACGGGAGGGATCACACCCAGGTCGGCACTGAGCACCACTGGCGAGCAACTGCAGCTCCGAATAATCAACTCGCCGTTTGGAAGGTACGCTCTTCGCGAAATCAACATCAATAAGGTTCTTTTCTAGAGCCAGGTGGACAAAGGAGACCACTCGAGGGCAGAAGACGGGGAATGGAAAACGCTCGTACGTAATGCTCAGATGGGCTCTCCCTCATCCAGCTGAGAAACAGCGTGAAGTGCCCATCGTGGTCTTTACTCCCGAAGAGAGCGGTTACCCCGGCTTGCTCTCGACAAGAGCGACTCCTTCGTGAGTTTTCTGGCATTGAACTCACCAAGAAGCATGTGCCGGTGGTGCAACACTGGAATTGGAAACGGCGCCGTGCTCTGACGCTTCCCGGACAACCCGGGAGGCCAAGGGAGACGTTTTCTTCCTTCCAGGTAATCTTACATGGGGAGGTATCTCAGAGCAAAGCAACTCGTACTCATGGTCCCCAAAGGCTTTCAGGCTAGAGCAGGAGCCTAGCCTTCCCGAGCCAGGAAAGCAACGGCCGCATGTAGAAAGCTCACACTGCCAATTCCACTGGGGTGGTTCCCCTAAGCAAGCAGGGCTAGTGGCCAACGTAAAGAGAATGGTAAAGAAATACAGAAATCACAAGGCTAGAGGCTCGGGAAAAACGCCTCGCCTCCTGAGGCAGGATAACGCTGGTGCCATCAGTTTTCCTATTTCCATGGGAGAAAAGCCCGTCTACGCTAAGGGCCCATCGAGGTGAGTCACCTTCAGGCAGGAACAGCTGCAGCCCCGGGGGACGTGGTAGCCCCTGCTCCCACCCCACAAACCGTGGTGCAAACCGTGGAAAAAGGGCTCGCTGGCCAAAAGCCAGCCGTCCCTCCCTTTCCAGGCACCTCTTCGCCTCTGAGGTGAAGCCCCTGAAGCTGCAGCTCTCCCGCCTGCAGTGCGGATCCTCACCCCCTTCTTGCGCCTGCATTACCAATCCAGGCGCATTTTTTTTTTGGTAACAGTCGTCGCTGAAATGACAACACCTACTGCCAGCAGAGGTACGAGGTATCTTTGAACAACGTGACTGAAGCACAGCTGTTGGCTCGGGCTTCGCTAGGGATGCGAATGGCAGCACCTTTTCCTCTGCGCGAAGCCGAAGGTGGATCTACTGCGTTACCCCGTCGTCGGCAGATATGAGAGTTCAACAGATCTTGCTCTGCATCTGGATGCATAGTTGTTCTATAAATACATCCACACTACACAAACACTGGCCTTCTGGTTCTCATCCGATCAGAATAAATTTGTCTAGCTCCTTTCATCCTAAAGGGCTTTTCAAATGAGTACTTGCACGTTACACAGAAATATATATACAGACTTTCCTCTCTCCCAGCGATAGCTTCTCGATCCAAAATGCAGCAACTACTCCAAAGTGCAGCCTCCTGCCCAAAGCGAGCTGGGGGGGGGGGGGGCAGCACAGAGGGGAGCCCCCACATCGAGGACTGGGGACAAAGCTGCTCAGCTCCTGCAGTTGTAGCAGCGAGAGGGGGAGCGGGGGGCTGCACCACGAGGCAGCTGTCCTCTGTCACCAGGCCAAGCACTGCACTCCTGCTCCTCATACTGTATTTAACCAACGCTTTGACACCATTATTGTCACCAACCCAGTAACTATGAGGTAGTGTCTCTGACCTCAAGCCTTCGCACATTTAATGAGACCCCAAAGGTTTTCAAAGCCAGAAGTGACTAAGCTTTCCATTGATTTAAGAACATTCCAAAAAAATTAAGAGATCCTACAGCCAAACACGTTCAAGGCTGAAGGACAGTTACACCCGCCAGAGCAGTCCTCAAGCCTTCCTTGAGCACATCATGAAAAAGGCAATTACGGATAGAAGTTATAAAACATATGAAATCAGCTGCAGCCTGACCCAGTGAATCAGTGGTTCATGGAAATTTCCACAGGAGGCTGGAGCCATCAGTTAGCATTTTGTTTATCTCCCTGCTTCAGATTACGAATGGGAGCGAAGACCTTAAGGGAACACCCACTGGCTTCCTGCTACTCCGAACACCCAGGGTGGCCCACATGTGGGCCACAGACCTGCGGGACCTCCTGCGAGGCTGCACCCTGACTGTGGCACAGCACGGGCTCCTCCGGAGCAGGACAGCAGCACGCCAGGAGATGATCTCATCTTCGCAATCAGGGCCAACCCTTGCATAATTGAGCCCCGCTGGATCTAAATCGGACCGAGCTTATCAGGTCCTAAGAGCAAGCTGCCTGCGTGCTAAGGAAAAAGGTACAGATTCCAGCTACCTCTCCTCTCAAGCCTGGAATTTAGGCTCCTCGTTTTCAGGTGGTGGCAAGACACGCCAGCAGTTCAGCGTTAAGGGGTGGGAGGGGAAGACGGAGTCTCACGGGCTAATTCACCCAGGCCAGCACTCCCCTGTCTCAGGTTCAGGGCACGCCAGGGCATTTTGAGCAGCTCCATTTCTGTCACTGGTGCACAATACGCTCGCTTCAGTCGTCCCAAACTTGGCTTATCCTGTGCTCCTGAACAGAGACAGCTTTAGTACAGGCGGCGGGAGCGCTACAGGCTGAGCGGGCTGTGAATATCAGACACAGACAAGAATGAGATAACTAACTCGGGTGATGGATGGCTAATTAGTTGGCAAGCAGCGCCATTAATTAATTCCTCTGTCCTCGCTCACGGGGCACCAGCATACACATGCTTGAGCAGCAGTGCTATTAGCCTCCGCAGAGATCCTGTCCCCACGTTTCTCGCTCGGCCCCGCAGATACAGGGCGGGCTGAAGATCTCCAGAAACAACTGTCAAGGGAATCGTGACAGTCCATTCATCACCAACAAGCTGCACCCAAAACCGCAGCAGGCAGGTCACCAGCGGCGTTCCTGCATGACACTTCAGGTAAGAGCATTTTGGATCCGCTCTGGACGGATGGACCTATCCCCCCCCCCCCCCCCCCCCCCGCTGCTCCCCAGGACCAGTTTTTGGAGTTTATTGTCTGACCCGAGAACTGGGTGCAGGCAGTACCCTTGGTACAAGAGGGGAAAACCAGGGGTGCACCCCCGCCCTGCCTTCGCACCTTCCTTTTGCTGCAGAGCAGCATGCGCAGGGCCAACCCCCCCGCCCTTGCACAAACATTACCCTGGCACCGCTTGCGCTAGCACGCATCACAGGGCTGGAGGAAGCCGAACTCGGCCGGGGATTAAAAATCAAGAGGGAAGCGTGGCAAATCCTGCCAACAAACGGGGAAGAGGCGGGGAGGCTCAGAGCGCTTGCTGGGGGCTCTGGGTGCATCACTGCGGGCCTCATTTTAGAAGCTGGATGGCCAATGACCTACCGCCGCGCCGGAAACCGTAACAGCACATTTACGAGGGGGGAAAACGGGGGCTTGTGCAATTACTTTGCAGACGTGTGGGGAATGGTTACTACTGAGAACAGTTCAGGCCTCAAAGACGTCCTCTCCCGAGCTGGCCATGCTGATTCCCAGACAGGCGGCAGAGCCGTTTTTGCGGCTCCCCCAGCCCAGCGCGCAGCCCTCACCTTGTAAAACACGTCGGGCACATACTGCTCGCTGCTGGACTCCTTGGCGTAGCCCAGCTCCGGCGCGTCTCGGCAGGGCAGCAAACACTCGTCTCGAACCAGCGCCATGCACTGATTCGAGACCTGGTACCCCTCGAAGTGGACCTGGTTGTCGGGACCACCTGGAAGAGAGGAGGCTGGTTAGAAATCCCACGCGAGAGCGATTTGCCCCGCGTCGCTCGGAGGGGCACGACTCAAAGAGCAACGTTAAACGCGACGGTCTTGCTAACAGTGAGCGACGGCGAGATGGAACCGCCGGCGCAGCTGCATGGGAAGCACTTCTAGGCAAGAATCCCCTCTAAAATCTGTCTTTATTTAGTAGCACGCATTTTCACAGCTAGCCTAACAGCACAGACCCCCGGAGAGACAGCAAGACTGCTCTGCCAGGAGCTCAAAGGAGGCAAAGCTGCCCTTTCGGAAGGCTCCCGGTAGCATCACCCTCCCACTGCCCTGCAGGAATCTTCTCTCTTTCAAAACAAAAGCCAGGCACACAGTTCCTGGGAGCCTGTTTCATTTCCAAGGAACCGTGAGCTGCAGATTCAGGGTTGGTCCCCTAGTAATGTCAGGCGTAAGGAGAAAAAGTGTTTTCTCAGCCTGTAATGGATGGCCTGGTGGAAATCTGACATGGAAAGTGGAAATTAAGACCCTGGCTCGCTGATAGATCACATGCTTGGCGCTTTAGTTTGGATAAAGTAAGCAACATCAGGTCATATGTCACTAGAATACAACTGGAAAGAGAAGATACAGACAGATGGTAGGAAAACGTTACTATTTCCAAACCTAGGAATTCAGGAGGGAATAGAAATTAATCCATGTAGAGGATTTAAAGGCAACGTTGATGCAAACTATCCAAATACATTTATATGGCACAAAAGGAAGGAATCAAGTGTTTAAATAGAAACCTGATGGGCTGATTTAACAGAAGAGAATGAAATTACCTGGAACAGAAAAGAGGAAATATTCGTTTTCTACCCTTTGATCTCTAACCTCAATCACTCACTGCTCCAGAACAAACACTCCTAGAAATTAAACATAGACCAAGACACAGGGAAGGTCTGAACAAAGCTAGCCATCGTTTTCCTCAGTAAAACACCTTGTTTAAAAAAACATAGAAATAAATAATAATTAAAAAAAAAAAGCGCGACTGAGATACACATCTATCTTTAATGAAAGATGGATGCTTTTGAATGTACGGGCAGCTGTCTGATTGCACGGGCCTGTTAACTGAAGGAGAACGTTTTGACTGAAAAAGGCTCTGGGAACACTTACAAAACCTGGGCTCAGAGGAGGCAATATAATATCACACTTTCAGTTTTTACACTGGATGCTATTTGGAAGTCATGTGTTTTTTGGTTTGTTTTTTTTTTTTTTTTTTTTTTTTCTTTTTTTTTTTTCATTGTGTTAAATAGACCCAGAACAGAGTGTATCTGCTCCAGGGAAATTTTAAATGAATATATGTGTCATCCCGTGGAGAACAGCAGATTGAACTCCTAACACTACAACCCTCCCAGCACATGCCAACATCTCCCCTCGCAGCGCGGGCAGCGCCGACTATTCCACAGTGCCTCTGGAGGCTTGCTGTGAAAACGGCTATAATCAGAGGTGACAAAGCAAAGCATTTTGCAGGCTCCTCTGTTTTATTCAGGCAAACAAAAAATGTTTCCATGCACGGAAGAGCACAGCATCCTACGTAAGGGTTTCCCTGACAGCGACACGAGGGAGATAAAGGTCCCTCCTTTATGCTGAACCAGCCAGAGCAACTTTCAGGATCTGGATTGCCGTGGTTCTGCACTGCCGCTTTCAGGCAACAGAATTTGGAGCTTAAAGATTCAAAACAGAAAAGCGAGCAACAGTTATTCCCTTGGCTGCAGGCAAAAAAATGCCTCCCGGATCAGAGAGGTGGATGCTCCAGGTCTGAGCCTCAATTAAGTTTCCTGCAGGGGACAGGGTAAATAATTGCAGAGAAGATAGCACAAAGGAAGAAAAAGTATTTCACTTGATAGAGCAAGGCAAAACCCTTCTTAAATAGGACAGATGAGGACCACGACGTCTGAATTCTGGCTGAGCTGCATATTCTTCTTCTAACAACGAGAGATAATTCTGAGAGCTGGGGCAAGTGGAGGCTGGTTTATACCTGTAGCCACAACTGTGACAAACTTGGATCCAAAATGACCATCTGGAGAAAGGCGACAGATGTTGGGCTGCTGGTTCTGAAAGTTTCCAGCTGTGATGCACTCCTCTGCACTGAGATAATACGTGTCCTGAGGGAAGAGCAGAAATGTCAATAAAAAGGACAACGCGATGTAGCCTAGACCTATTTCTCTGGTCTGCAGCCAAAGAAAACTACCAACACCCTAGTAAAGCATGCTTTCGTAGAAAGTTGATGCAGAGACTGGGAGAAGAATGTGACATGTCAGCTCCCCAGCAGGACTGTGCCACTTCTAGTTCCACCCACCTTTACACACCCTTTTTTTTTTTTTTTTTTTTTTTTTTAAACAGGGTTTCATTTTCCAAATAGGGATACCACTGATTTTAAAATGACAGGAAGCTGAGGTCAAAGTTTGAGCCACGTGTATCTCACAAAGCCCAGCTCATTGATACATCCTCTGAGTCACTCTTGCTCACTGAGTTTACACCTCGCGCCACCCCTGTCCCTCCATTCCACCCAATTTCCTTAAGCCACAAGCACCATTTTCTCCAAGCAGAGTGGGTGCAGACCTGCGGGCAGCTCTGCATGCTACCCAGACACCTTCAAACCCCAACCAGGGCTCTTCCAGCTCGAGCTCCCTTTCCTTCAGAGGCTTCTGAAAAAACCCATTTCACCAGAATTCCAGTTCCAGCGTCACCTCCAGCCCTGTGCTGCCCTGGCCCAGCACTCTGCTCGGCACAGCCAGCGTTTATGCGATTACACAAACGCTCAGTACCAGCAGCTGTAATTAGCTGCACGCTTGGATCTCACCTTGTTTCTGCTGTATCGAACAGTCCCTTTCCGTGTGTCTTCAGAGACCAGATCAGTAAATATCCAGCCAACCTATAAAGAAGTGTTATGAAGAAAGTTGCTGTAAGAAAAAAAAAAAAAAACAAACCACACAAAAACCAAACCCAAACCAGAAGAGAGCTTATACATTTTCTCCTAGCAGGACAAGATGTTCTTGGCTCCTCGCACGGCCCTGCTGTATGCTGCCTGAAGGAAATGGCTCTCCCAGCTGTGCCGGGCTCATTTGAATCCGATTTCCAGGAGCAGCATGCCAGCTGGCCGGCCAGGGGCACCTGCAGCTTTATGTTTCACTGTGGAATATTTTTTCATGGAAAGATCTGGAGGCTGGAAGAGGCCTCTCAGCCGCTACCTCCTCCCACCCACAGCAAAAAGCATTTCCTATTGAGCATTCAGAGCAAAGCAGCATCGGGAGCGCCAGCAGATGACAAAAGCCGCTCACATGATCTCATTTTGAAGCTCGCAGTCACTAGTTAAGATAAAGCTCATACGTTCCCACTGGAGTATGATTCATTCCCAATCAGGGTCTGCTCCGATCCAAAAAACACATTCCTGCTTTCTGCATTGTTTGCACATAGGAGTATGGATGTGTACACACACCCCGCTGCGTGAACCCTTCTACACACATGGGCTAAAAACAGCTCCGATCAGCCCCCTCGTGACCAGCTCCCACAGCATTAACCCTTCAGAGGAAGACCTGCTGATTCAGATTCCTAGCAGAGCCCAGGCAGACAAAAATCTGCAGCCAGCAGAAAGTTACACGTTAAGTCATATCGATTAAAAATATCTGATGTGAGAAGCGGAGGAAAAGCATGGAAATAAATAACACACACAGAAGCTTTGCTTCAGACGCTGGCAAAAGGCTCAGATCTTATCTTCAGAGAACAAAAGACCTCACCACAGATGTTTATAGTCTACTGTACCGAGCCTTTTGTGATTTGTGTTTTCTTTAGCAAGTCAGATCTTGTCTGTGTACCTCTCATTCCTGGCACTCGCACGATACCAAAAGATTTCCCAAACCGGAAAATATCAGCACAGGTTTGAGAGGTGTCAGCAAACCAGCGGTTCCCAATACCCACCCATCTGATCGGATGACTGGCGGGCTGTGGGCACGAGGGGAGCAGAGGACTGAGGCTCAGCTGCCAGGGAACCCACACCTCTAAACCAACGCACAGATTAGCTCGCCGCAACATGCCTCCGTGGCTTCAAGGGACAGGACCCCACAGAGGAGAACAAAAACCAAGCAGGAGCCTCTGCTCCTGGAAGTGGAGCGCGGATTCTGTCAAAAGGAAGAACAAACTCAGAAGGCAACTCCAGCTACATCTGTGCTAAATTAGCACCCACCGGGGAGATGCTACCAGGAGCGGCTCCTATCTGAGGAGAAATAAAGGGAAAAATCATGTTTCTGCTCCTTTGCTACTCCCTTTGATGTCATTCATGACAGAGGACTCCTGACTTCAGCTGCACAGCCCTGCTAGATGCCTGTGCTCAGGAAAACGCTCTCATTTTGAAAAGCGTAAGAGCTATCGACACTTAAGCTACATTTCAGATGTGCCCAAACAGTCTTGAATAACCCCATGGAGCTGAAGAGAACTGCCGATGACTTTCCTCATTGCCAAACAAAGACGCACGAGATCCGACAACATCCTAACCTTTCTCAGTCCAAGCTTGGCAGCGATCTCATCCACAACCTCAGCTTTTGGATCTTCCAGGATCTCCAGGCTGTTCTGGGTACCGATCTGCAGCAAAGAAAAACTTGCTCGTAAGACCGAACAGGAAAAAACACAGCACGCTTAGCCGTTGTCAGGAGCGAGGCAGAGGGTGGATGCAGGGGTCTAGGTTTCCCCTTCGGCGTTACCACTGCCCGGTTTCACCCCGGAGACCCCCCCGTACTCACAGACCCATCCTGTCGAAGCGTTTCAGCTAACTTTGCAAACCATGCCGGGGTTTATGAATGAAAAACTCGGCATTTACAAGCAGGCCATTGCTGTTTCCCAGCACTTTGGGAAAGGAGAGAGATTATACAATTTTTCCAAAGCTCTGTGCTCAACCTGCCAGTTTTGTACCGCCGTTTGTCGTTGGTTTGAATCTCCGAGCAGCGGAGAGGCAGAAATCCAGTGAATCCAAGAGCCCACGCCCAGGCCTTCCCCCCGCGCTCTGGAAAACACGACTCCATCTGGGTGCGTTTCCGAGGCAAGCTTTCTCGTGTGGGGAGATGCCGTGTCAAGAAGCACAGCAGAGCCTGCTTGCCAGGAGAGCAAAAGCTTCCCTGCTTTTACTGAGCACAACTAGAAGCATATGAACTTTCCAGAGCAGGGGCTCAACGGCGATACTGAAACAATAGAGGGCACAGTTCTGCTCGTGTTGGAAAGAAAGGGAAGAACTTGTAAAAGGCTTGCAGTCCTGCTCTCGCACACACGCTCCCAGAAATCCATTTGTTCTTTTTCCACTGACAAATCGGTTGCATTTTACTCTAGCAACCCTGCAGAAATCATCAAGAGGAAGAAAACATATGACCCACCACTATATGACTGTATACAGCGTCTGCACTTAGAAAAGTGACTCTGGTCAGCAGTGAAGCAGCCGGGAGGCAAACTCCAAGCCGAGCCCCGTGTTGTGGGCAGAGGGGCTTTTTGTATTTGTCATCTCCATTTCTCCATTTTCAGCTCCCTGACACCGAATTCAGCTCTTGGGCTCCCTGGCAGGCCAGGCTCACTGAGAGACCGTGCTGGCTGTGGCCTCCCGGGCGGACACGGCGGTGCCGAGCGCGGTGCCGTGCACCATCTAGTGGGGACTGCAGCTGCTCCGTGGCATCAGATCTCACCCTCCGCCTCTCCATCAAGGCAGCAGGCTTCATTCTTGTCTAATTAAGCTGCTTAAATTTTCCCAGAGAGCTGATAAGAAACCGAAGCAAGGGCCACGACTTTTTTTTTTTTTTTTCCTAGTACAGAATTCGTTTTCAAGCTGTTCCATACCCATAGCCTTGCAAATCCAGTAATCAAGGAAACACGAAAAGTGAAATCCACTGTTACGAAGCCACCCTTGCTCTAAAATCATCTGAGCAAAGAGCAGTGTAAAAGAAACCGTAAAAATAACAAAAAGCAAATCCGGGTTTTAAAATTCTTTCAGTGGCCGTGAAACACGCAAAGACGCAAATCGCGACACCTTTTTCATGGGACCGTTTCCCTTGTGGGGCTGCAGTGGGAAATACTGCGGGAGGTTTCCCAAACAAAAAAGTGCTCCCGTGTTCCCTGATCAGGAGTCGACACGGGCACCGGGGCAGCCAGGTTTTACCTGTGGGGGTTCATAGATGGCAGCAACCTCCGCCCGGATCCCCAGCGGGATGTCTTTGTGCTCTGTGTACCGGCCGTACAGGTACCCCAGGTGTTGGTTTCCCGTCTTCCGCCAGAAGTCTAGGAAGCGATCTGCAATGGTGTGGTTCTCAAACATGATGTTGTCAACATGCCTGTATTTCTGTTTGACAAAGTCCAAGCGTCAGGCCACCCTCGACGGGGTGCGTTCCCTTTGCCCGTCACCAACACCTTCCCAGCTGCCCAGGATGCACGCCCCCCCCCCCGCCCTCGCGGCCGAATCCTGCCAAAGCAGGGCCAGGGAAGGCTCTCGCCGGCTCCCCCCTCTCCCCTCCGCCGCCTTCAGCACCGCTCCAAGCCCAGCAAGCAGGACCCACCACGGGCTGGAGCGTGGGGAAGCGCTGAGCACCCCCCAGCACACCATTAGCTTGGCTTCTTTACTAGGCCCCTTACCCCAAGAGCCTTTGCGACTCAAAAAAAAAAGACACTGAAATTTAGGAGGAAACAAGAAGAAACAGTGGGTGGCCTGTTGGATCCCACGAGGAAAAAGAGTGGAGGTTCATCGCTAGTGGTGCCAGCTCAGATGTCCTCCATATTCAGAGGAAACTGCTGAGCCAGATAGATTTTGGAGTCCTTTCCTGCAAGGACTGAAGACCTTAACAGCCACTTCCCCGACAACTGCCAATACGCAAAGGCTTCCTGCTCCAAGTTGGCCGTTCCTGAAGTCATCTCTCCAAAAATAAAAGTCAAGCCCCCTCTCGGCTTTAAGCACAAGGGCTCCTGCGAGCTCCGTCTCACCTGCCTATTGAGGGTGATGGCACTTGGCTGACACTTTGTGCAAATGCCTTCTGGCCAAGGAGGGTGTCCTTCACAGCCTGATTTGATCTTACAGCTGATGTTTTCCAGGGCAACAAACTTCCCCCTGCAAGAAGGAAAGGAGAAGGCTGCTGTTACCGCAGTAAATGCTTTTGGGTTCCCCCCCCCCCCCCAGAAAAAGCAAGTGGCTAGAAATATCACAGAGGAAGCAGGGCAGAGGAGACGTGGTGGCACCAACGCTTTGCCTCGCCAGAGGATCTCGAAGCGTCCTGCAAACTCCCACGGGGAGACGCTCCGCTCCTGCGGTCCCCAAGTGACCTCTGCCGCCCACTCAGCGATGGAGGTCCAGACGCTGACATGTGCTCCCTGACCCAGCTCCTGAGCAGATACTCGAGCAAGAGCAGAGACAGAAAACCCACGGGACCCCGCTTAAATAATTTACGCGGCACGTGGGAAGTAATAGATTATACTGCTAGGGCAAATTAGAGCTCCTTTCATGTGCACAAGGCTTCCTGCAAAGGGAAGTTCCCTTCAAATCAAAGTATTATGGACTCGAGCTGCATTTCACAAAGACATTAAAAAAATCCCAGTGGCATTTCGGAATAGGAGGGAGAAGGTTACACCTCTGCATAACTTTATTTAAATGAGCTGCATTTCAGAACGCAGCGGGTTACCCAACATCACCGAAGGGGACTTCAGATCCTTTGCTGAACACGTGCGCCACAGCGAGGCATAAAGAAATAAATACTGCTTTCAGCACTTCCTCTCTGCTCAGCACTTGTCTGGCCTGTGTCACCACAGCACCCCCCACCCCGCCGCGGGGCAGGACACCTTATTCTCCAGTTCACCGGCGGTGAACCACGGCACCCCGGCAAGAGGGGGGGTTTCACCAAGAACACATGGAGCACGAGCCAGAGCAGGATCAGGCCCTGAGGAACGTCAGGCTCGTTTTTCTGTCCTATTCATGTTTGTAGGTAAGAAAAGCTGCTGGTGAATAAAAACTCCCCGGGTCCGCCACAGTCTCAGTGCCTCTCCATGAGGTTTGAGACCCAGGCTCAGAGCTTGGTATAATGAGGGATTGGCATAATTAGGGAACCTCTTTCCTTCCATCTGGCCTTCTCCCCCCATCAGTAGTGTTTCCTGGAAGCAATTATGTTGCCATAGCAGGAAAAAAAAAAAAAAAAAAAAAAAAAAAAGAAAGAAAAAGACAGATTTAATTTTTATCCCCCTGCCTTTTTTCCCCTTTTTTATTTATTTTTTTTTTTTCTTTTTAAACATGCTGTTTTCTCCTCAGCTTGCCATTCAATAGTTGTATCCAACACCACTCTGCTGAGATCCGTACTTTCATTTTTATTTTAAAAAAGAAGCTACAATTAGATTCCCTGAAACACAGAGATTTTCTTACTTGTCTGCCCCTCCGGTCAGCTTCCTGATGTAGGCATGGAAGGACATATGCTTCACAGGAGGTTCCAGATGGTTTAAATAATCCTCATCAAAAGGCTGCCAAAAACACCACACAAAGAAAAGCCAGGTCAGACACCTGTCTGATAATACATTGATCACTAAACAAATGGATGTTCTAGAGTCAACCCCACTGGCTCTCAATGTGGAAACAATCAAGAAAATTTAGGCTCATTTTCAAGGCAGCTACTACTGTGATAGAAACAGTGGGGCTTTACAACAGCCAGTTTTATTATCGCCTCCTACTTTTATAACAGATTGGCTCTACAAATCAGAACGAGCCTCAAAGGCAAAATGCTTTTTCCTTTCAATATCTAACAACAAACAAAAAGCCCAGCTGCTCAAACAAGGCCAAAAAAAAAAAAAAAAACTTACAGAGCACACGGCAGGGAAGCGGGGGAACAGCCATCCTGGCTCGCAGTGACTTTTGAGGGATCGCTGCTTCACGCCATAAATTATACAGCTTAACACATTTGTAGGCGTTACTAAAGCTGCCTTCAACCTGAATAATACGTGGTTAAACTGGGAAGTGCTGGGATCCATGAGAGAGGGGATGAAACAAGAAGATGGAGGCAGGAGTGAAGGGGGGGGGGGGAAACTTGGGAGATTTTTCTGAAGCACTTTCTGTTAAACCCATTACTGCAGAAAAACAAAGCGTTAACCAGAATCAACCCAGGGTGAGGAAGGCCTAGAGCTTTAGCGACCCCGGATGAGAGCCGGCACCTTTGACGGTGCGCGGCAGGATTCTGACCCAGGGCTGCCATCTCCGCGTGGGCAGCGCGATGAGGAAAAGCCTTCATACTGGAGGAAAACGAATCCAAGAGGAGAGGCTTTTGCATGACTTTGCAGAGCACCTTCTCGGGGCGCTTACCTCCAGCGGCACACAGTGCACACATTTACCCAGGGGGCCGTGGCGACACCTGTGCAAAGAGGAAGAGAAGCAGCGTTAGGTTTTATGTAATAATAGAAAACTCAGACTTGTCAAAGTTGCTCCGGGCTAACGGTTTTGGTGTGGCAGATCTGCACAATTGCTCCGAGCAGCTCTCCACCCACTGGGGAATATTACAGAGGGGTCACCACAAGATAATTTCACATAAAGAGACAGCAACAGCTTCGGGTTAAATCCGAGGGCCCCAGGTCAAGATCAAACCTTCCTGATGTCTGTGTCGCTGGCAAGCGGCTCGGCCCTCTGAAGAGCCACGTGAACCGATGTCAGGTCACAGCTTCTCAAGTTTTACAACCCCGCGCTGGGGCTTGTGTTTCAATGCAAAGAATTTTAAATCTACGTCACAGGGCTGGCCCGTGTGGTTTTAACAAAAAGACAACTAAAACATTCATCCTTTATCAGTCGCTAGAGGATGGTCTGGAACAAACAGGGAAGCATGTGTTTATCGGACAGATAAAGGCCCGCTGGGTAAAGTTACAAAACGGAGGGGAAAACATCTCCTTTTGAGGTGATTGCTTTAAAAAAACCAAACCAAAACAAAACAACAACAACAAAAAATGCCCCCACACCTCTGCCCCAGCACCAGGTCAGTGCTAGTTTTCAAGGCAAGGCCTCTAGAGAGGAGCATGGATGTTGGCTCCTGTAAAGACAGAATGGATGGGATCCAGTTGCAGCATTGCTTTTAACAAAGTATTGTGGCAGATAATGTACGTAAAGGGCCACTAAAGGCTGCTAATGCACTCAGCCGAACGCCAGCATCCCTTCTTGTTTAGATTGATATGCACTCACAAATACAGGAACAAGCCCAGACACACTCTTTTTATCATAAATATCCACCACTGTGCTTTGGCTCCCTGCTAAGAACAATACCTTCATTTATTCTTTTGAAAAATGCGGTCAAGTTCAAGACAATGTTTTTGCCATGGAGTGGTGGGTTTTGCCTCTGTTGTTTCAATAATGTGACATTTCCCTTATTTATCATCAGCCTGAAAAGGTTAGATAGGATTTTCCACGTAAAGGCTACGTCTCTCCAAACTTCCTTGCTGCTGCAGCACTGAAGATAAAGCGTATGGAAGACAACACAATGGGGAAGGGCGAGCTATCTTGTTTTGGAGAGAATTCCTGGTTGCCTTTAAAATTTTCACTCGAGCCCTTTCAGAAGTCACTCTGCAGAGGGGTCCAGCCTCAAGCCAACCACCAGTACAGTCATCGGGCCAGGAGCCAGCTGGGACGCTGTTAACGATGAGCAATAAAAAACAACCATCCAGACAGAGGACATTTTAGCAGCATCAGTGTAGATTTACGGCGGTATTAACTCACCGTCGTATTATTACTTTTACAAAAAACACAAGCTGCTTTGTTTACCTAAGCCTCTTGCAGCTAAGAGCTTTGGCAAAGCTAGACTTTGTCGCATTTCTGTGAGCAAAACGGACTCCTTGGTCTCACAGGAAGGTCAGAAAGGCGCGTGACGGAAAGGAAGCCAAAACCCAAGCAGGCAGAGACCCAAGTCCCACTTCCACGTCTCTGCCGTTGCGTACTTCCACGCCACCCCCTCCACTTCTGTGTTTTTCCTTTACGAGGAGCAGCTGAATCTGAAGACACAGAAGTGCTGCTGCTCGGGCCATCCTAGGCGAGGTGCTGCCCGCCCCCGTCGCAGTGCCGAAGGCAGCGATGCAGCGCGGCGGCGGCTCTGCCCACGGAGGGAGAGACTGCACGGCTGCCAGAAAAGGCGGCAGAGCCCAGGCCTCCGCTCTGGCAGAGGAGTCGCCTGCGATTTAGAGAACAAACCCGACCTGGATGCTCACCCGCGGCTGGCTGGGCGATGCCGAGGCAGCAGCTCTGGCCACAAGCACGTTTCCCCGCCCGCCCCTCTCCTGCGAGATGGAGACCCTGCCCGGCCGCCCCGCACGCTTGTCACCTCGGGACCCAGACGACGGGGAGCCGCATATTGAGACCATATGGAACAGAAGCTGCTGCAGACAGCAGGCCTCTGCTTATTAAGCAATATGCCACACACGGAGCATAACCTAGTATTTCCACACAGCACAGGCTGTGCCAGGACATCCCGGGGAAGAATTCAAAGTATTCACTTAAATCTAGAAAGCTCCAAATGTTTCAGGAGCACCAAGTATACGATCCCCAGTCCCATAGCGGGGCCCACCTTGATCAGAACAATAGATGCTCTGAACGAGTCCTTCCTGGCAAAGACCCTGGGATTTTGGTATCCTTCCTTCCTCGGCTCACCAGAGCTCCATTTAACCTCCTAGGACAATGGCAAGGGCTGTTTTCCCTTGTGAACGTTTCAAAGGGAGGGAGGGATAAAGCGGGGGCTCAGAGAGCAGTTCCCATAGCACACTTCCTGCTGCTGCTTTCAGACAAGATGTTACAAGCTCTGGTGAGGCACAGATGCACCGGCAGAAACAAAGTCCACCCGTACTTACAGCTGCTGGTCTCGATTTCGGTAAATCTTCCCATCCTGTTTGATCAGATACTGGTCGATCTCATCTTCTACCACTTGGGGGGCCCCCACAGGCCGCAAGCCTTGGGAGACAGAGGTGTCCATGGTCTCTGAGGAGCAGCCAGCCGGGCTCGAGGGGTAGAGGAACAGCATATCGCCATGCCTAGGGGTGTGGAGAAACAACACACAGGTATCAGTGGCTGCTTCTGGGTAGCAAACCTCCTGGACCACGGAGGAAGGTGTGATTTATCACAAGCTACACAAAGACTAGTAAAGGTGGCAGTCCGAAGCCGTTCCATGAGCCACCTCTTTCTGCTGCTTTGGTCATTTGCACAACAAATGCAAATCTTGTCGTCAGGAGATGAGACCAGGGGAAAAAAAACCAAACCAAAACAAAACAAAAAAAAAAGCATGAGGAAAAGGGTGAAAGGAGCCTATGGAGAGAAGCAACGGCTCCGACAGAGAAAAAGGCCTAGTGTGGATCCCGTGCCCGTCACGTCACAGCCTTCCCAAGGCAGCTGCCAGCGCTGACACATCCAAGTGATGAGTTGCACGCGGTGGTAACAGCGTTTGTATTTTTAAGCGGCTTAACATTATTCTTGACGTGAACAGAACGAAGACATTCCCAACTAAACACGGAGCAACTGCACCATTTGGCACCTCTGATCCCCCTAGGCGGCTGGCTACAGAAGGCAGGAACCCTGGCTTCCGCACAGGGGACCGTCGGACTCCGGCACTGATGCAGAAGAAAAGGGCAGCGTGAGCAAAAGCAGGGATGAGGGAGCCTGCTGCAGGCTGTAAAAGAGCAAACAGGAGGCCTGCTGCTGCCTCACCAAAACAAGCGAACACAAGGCAAGAAGTGACCTAAGAAATGGCTGCTGCAGCCTCGCACGCAGTCAGTTGGATCACCCCCATTTCGGCACGTCCATCAGGCTCGCCCTTTCAAGTAGCTGGTGAGCGACAGCCGAAAGCTTCAGACCGCTGTAACGTGATGTTGCCCGCTGCTGCCCAGTTCCGAGGGAAGAGTTCAGGCAAGCTCAAAGAGGCACCCTGTTGTACAAAGTGTCCCCCCCCCCCCCCCTCCACCCAGAGCGCTCTCTGTCAGGACTCACTTGATTTTCAGTAAGTTGAGGGATTTGTTTTGTGACGCTGTGATCTCTCCTGTCCTGTTTCTATTGGTGTAGACAGAAAAGCCATTATTCCTGAAACCAAATTCTTTTGCAACCTGAAAGAGAGAGAAGAATGACAAGGTTTAAGATACCTCACACCCCCGGGCAGATGCTGAAAGCTGCTCAGAGCAAGCGCTCAGTCCAGGGAACTTCTACTGCAAAACCTTAGCTGAATTCATCCACGTTTCTGAAAAGCGCAGGATAACAGAGAACAGAAATGCTTAGTAACACAAGCGATCTATTAAAAAAAGCAACTTAAACAGAACGTGTCTCTCACTCTCACAACACAGATGCACTATTTTTATCTCACTCCAGGCAAGCACTGTCATGACTAGAGGGGGGAAACTATCTTCTCCGTTACTCCGCTTCTCTTGCTCCAGCCTTGCCAGCACACACCAGCCAAGTCGTTCTCATCTCCCTGTGACCAGAATTCCTCGGTCCAGACCTCCACCTCTGAGGATCTCTTGCCCCCAGCTCTGCTCTCTCCTACCAGTTGCTACATCAGTTTCACTCAAGCTCTTCCTGCTGTTGTCCTTTCTATTTCGCGCCATTTGCCTCTTTTTCTCCTGATGGAATTTACTCTCACAATAACCACCTCTCGGTCCCCAAGCAGGTTTTTTTCCCTGCTCATCCTCTCACCGGTTCAGTTTAAGACTGCTTTACTCTTAAATCAGCCAAATGCCTCTTCACAGCAATAGCAACTTGGCTACTTAAAAACATCATCAGTTCAAAAGTGGTGTTAAAAGTTTCTTTAGATGACAAGTTTCCTCCTAAATTCTTAAGTTAACAGCCTTTATTTTTATTAAGTCCATCTCCCTGTGGCTGCGGCAGAGCTCACGGCGACGGCACGCAGGACAAATCTAACAAGGCACGGACAGAACTGTCACACGAGCCGAGCCACGGGAAGCAGATTCTCTCCCGTCAGCTCCGCTGCCATGTGTAGCGGCAAGTGATCTGCCATCTGAAGGGAAGCACGACCTCAAACGGTTCGTCCCCTGCGTTAAACCTGCCAGAGTTAAACATCAGCTCACCCGGCCACAGACTTCACCAATTTTTTGGAGGGGAAGACGGGACAAATTCCACAATACATTAACAGAAGGCTCGAGTTAGTTCCTAACCTGAACGCACCCGAGAGTTTACCTTTTTGGTACTCTTACCTAGGATGTGCTACAAAAGACAGAAGATTATCGAGGCCCTTATCACTCTGAAATGTTCTTTCCTGCACACTTGCAGCTTCTCTGGAGTCGTCAAGGAGGAGATTCAAGTTAATTGCTTGCATAGAAGCAATCTGATGCCTCTTTAATTACAGCTATCTAGCTAAATACGAAATCCACCATACGGATTAGCGTCTCAGTGTTAAGATCCACAGCTATTAATATGCACAGGTAAAACTTGCAACTTCTTTCTTTCGGGTAAACCCTGTATCAGGAAAGAAACCCAAACATTTCTTGTATTCAGCTCAGCAAGAGGATATAGTTTTCCCCAGATCAACAGGCAATTTTAGTGAGTGCTGACGCTTTTGTTCTGACGGTAAGCGGCTGCAAGCATGATTGTTCCACTCTGCCTCGGGTAATATGAACCCTTGAAACCGAGCAGCTCGTTTTGCACAGGTTCCAGAGATTCTGAAAGCAATGCTTTGCTCCTTGGGTGAGACTGTTCAGAGACTGCAGCGGGTGTCTCTTACCCAGACCTGAAATCCATCAGGATTTTTGCTTGGTCAGGTGGGGATTGCTGCCGTGGTCTGGGCCCAAGCTTCGAACAAAGCAAACGACTCACAAACCAGCAGCAGGTTTCAGTTTGCTCCCCTTCCCCCTCGCAGGGGGAAAGGAAATCTAGCTGACTAAAAGAATGGCCCTTCAGGCACAGGAACACAAAGTATTTCTCTCAGCAAGCAAAGAAATCCTAATCTGAGGGTTCCAGGAGGGAAGGAAACGGAGAACTGCTGGCTCTTAAGCAGCAAACTTTGAACACTGAGTAGCTGCATCAGACCAAAGAACAAGCTACAGCCAACTCCAAATCTGACAACTCCAACACTCAGTGTGTTCTCCCCATCCCGGGGTGGAAACCTTTCCCAGGAGACCCCGGAGGCTCTCGCATCGCCTTAAGACCGCGCCTAAATTTCTTCCTTGCTCTCTCCAAAACCCACACCGGAAAACCAGTGGCACACAAAGCACATTCAAATGACATCCGAAGCGCAAACCAAGCGGCTGAGTTTCAACTGGGTCACGCCTGAAGAGGCCAGCCCCTCTTTGACTATCAAACAGCTTTCCTGTGTCACTGTCAGCCTCTGCTTCCCCAGCTGCCAACGCCTTTGGGAGAACCCTAAAAACGCGTGTGTCCCCCCCCAGGAAAGGTCCCACCCCAGCAAACTCCCACTGAAAAGCTGAGGAAGTTTTCTTCTTTAACTTTGTTATTTTCCCTCCGGAACAGCAAGGAGAAAACTGGTTTCGGGCTACACCGATGCAAAGGCTGTTCTCCACAAGGCAGGCGGCTCCCCGCTGCCGCCGGCACATCTGCCCGGCGAGGCGAAGAGCGCGCGTCTCCCCGGCGAGCGGGGCGGCTCGGGGTACCTTCTTGAGGAACGTCGCCACCGTTTCACGCTTCGTGGCCGTGATGCGCTTCACTCCTTCCGGCGACTGCACGCGGATGATCTGGGGGGTTAAGAGGACAGCCCCAGTTAGTGACGGGGGGGGGGCGACGGGAGCCCACCCTGCGCTCGCAGCCTGCTGAAGCTCCACGCCCAGGGCGCAGACCATCCCCACCGCTCCTCCCTCCTGCTCTTAATGCTGCCCTTCAAAGGGGCATGCAAACGCACAAGGAAGTAATTTGCTCCCGGTACAGGCAGCACTGGGCCCATGTTTGCATGCTGAATTACCCTAACGCATGAGGCACGGCAAGAAGTTGGCACCGAGAAAAACGCTAATGCTGCTATTATTTTTTTTTTTTAGGTCAAAGCTCTGCCCTCAGACGCAGAATTAAACCCTCAGAAGGAGGGTGAATCAGAGCTTCCACAGGAGGGATTTATTCGGTGCCTACACACAAACACTGGCCTAACTGGTGCTAATGGGCACCTGCGCTGTCGTGTTTCAACCCACGTCAGCGACGCGGCCGCTTCCATCGCTGATGAAAAGACGAGGAGAAGAGCCGCAAGGCTCAGGCTATTCCTGTCAAACCCTGAACAGCAGTTTTGCTGCGACCTGAAGTCAGAGTGGGTTTTTTTTTTTTTTGGGTGGGGGGGGAGGGCAAAAGGCCAGGGGCAATCCTTCACGTACTGGCAGGGAAGTGGCAAATATAAACACCAGCGTCCTCGTGGTGCTGAGGAGGGGAGAAGTGATTCAAGTTGCTCTGATGAGCGCGTTCTCCTGCTGACACGCCACACGTGGGATGGGAGCACACGGGCCAAAAGGGGGGACACGGGGGGGGGCTGCCGGCGTCCCGGCATCACCTCGCAGGACGCTCTCCCAACTTTCAGCACAGGGATCAAGCCCGGCCTGACGGGAGCAGGGGACCTTTAGGGTCTTCTCCAGCGATGCCGGCCAAGATCGGGCACCCTCCCCCCGAGACCTCCCCGCCCGGGGGCTGAGCGGGACCCCGGCCCCAAACCCCACACGCTCAGAGGGGGCATTTCTCTGGGGTAAAACCACGAGGAATCCGTCCACGGCTGCGCTCCGCGGAGCGGGGCCGGGGAGGGAGGGGGGGGGGGGGGGGTTGTCCGGCTTGGACACCGCCAGCCCCAACCCCGGGCGGGCTCGGCCCCGGGGGTGCTGCGGTACCGGGGGGCTGCCCCGTTCCCGGCGGCCGGGCTGGGGGAGCGCGGCCCGGTCCCGCCGCCCCACAGGAATGTGCTGCCTCATCGCCCCTCCCCCCCGGCCGCCGCCCGGCCCCACTCACGATCGTCTCCGCCATGACGCTCAGCCCACCGGGGACCGGGACTCGCCGCGTTCGCCCAATTCCCCGCCGGGTCCCGCTGAGCTCACGGCCCCGTTTCGCGACGCTTTCACCACGGCCCGGTCCCTCTCCGGCCCCTCCGCCTCCCGGGCCCGGCCACCCGTCCGCGCCCGGCGCCGCCCGCGCCCCCGCGTCCCGGCGCCTCGCGTTCCGCCGCACAAAGGTTCCGGGGCCGGTGCACCCGCTACGACCGTCCCCCGCGCTGCCTCGGTGCCACCGCCACAGCGTCCCCCCCCGACACCGCTACTCCCAGTCCTTTCGTTCCGCCTGTACCCTGCGGGGTCCAACTCGAGTTGGGGGGGGGGGTCCCCCGGTGCCCCCCTCGCCCATTGCACATGGGGGGGCTCGGCTGGGCGGCGGGATGTGCGCTCTGATGGGGTTTGTTGTTGTTCCCTCCCCCCCCCCCCCCCCGCATCCTGCTGCGCCCTCGTTACCGACCCCGCTAACGGGGCGGTGGGCACGGGTGCTGTGCTGGGGGGCTGGGCCGGATCGGGCCCAGCTGTGGGGGCCAGGAGCCGCAGCCCTATTTAAGGCCGCTGGCCGCAACCCCTCACATGATGGGAGCGTGATTCCTCGGGTTTGAGCGGCAGGATGGCGCAGAGCAGAGCGCGGCTCTCCTGGTCTCGTGGGGCGGCCGGCAGCGGGGAGAGCACCCGGCTGCTGCCCCAGGTAATCGCGGGGTTCCCCCCAGGACCCTCAGCCCGTCACCCGTGTCCCCCAACTGCTGGGCTCTGGGATGCCGGGGTGCTGGCTCTGCGCTGGAGCCTGCAGCGCTTGCGTTCCCCGGGGGTTGCCTTAGGGGTGAGTCTGGGGGTCCTCCTTAGGGGCGAGGTCTCTGGGTGAGCACCCCCGCACTCCCCACCTGCTCAGACCCTGGGGGTCTCCGTTACGGGGAGGGTTACGGGGTGGTGGTGGGGGAATGTGGGGCACCCTACGCACGGGACCCTTGCGAAAGGGGGGTGTGTGGTGGCTCCAGGAGCCTGTGATGGGGGGTGTATAGGTTCAGGGGGGCATTTCAGGGGGGGATGCTGGGGCTGCGAGCGGCTCATCCGTCTGTGCAGGCATCCAGGCTGGTGGAGCTGCCCTACTCTTCTTCTGATGATGATGATGATGGCTCGCTGGCTGGGGACACGGACCTTCCCACGGCCGAGCAGGACCCTGGAGCGTGGCACCCCGTCCCCCCCAAGCCGGGGACCTTCAGCCAGTGTGTGCGGTACCTAGCCTTCCTCTGGAACCTCCTCTTCCTCCTGCTGGGCTTGCTGGCCCTGGCTGTGGGGGTGTGGGGGCTGCTGGCCAAGGGCTTGCTGCGGGGGGAGCGCCTGGCCCCGCTGGGCTCCGACCCCATGCTGCTCTTCGTACTGGTGGGACTGGGGGCCAGCGCCGTCTCCCTGGCCGGCTGCCTGGGCACCCTCCGCTCCAGCCCCTGCCTGCTGCGTTTCTTCGTGGGGGCCACGCTCGTTTTCGTGGGGCTGGAGGTGCTGGGGGGGCTGCTGCTGGTGGTGGCACGGCACCGGCTGCGGGACGCTCTGCGGGATGCCCTGCTCCTCTGCCTCCTGCGCTACCAGGAGGAGCCCGACCTGCGGTTTTTGGTGGACGAGGTGCAGAGGAGCCTACAGTGCTGCGGCCTCGGCTCTTACCGCGACTGGGAGACCAACCCGTGAGTTGGGGTGCCTGGGGGGGGGGGCGGGGAGTGGTGGTGGGGTGCTGGGAAGGTGCGTGGACCCAGCAGCTCTCCTGGTCTGTCCCCGCAGGTATTTCAACTGCAGCGCCCCGGGAGCGCAGGCGTGCGGCGTCCCCGCCTCTTGCTGCCTGGACCCTTGGCAGAACGGCACCGTCCCCAACGCCCAGTGCGCCTTCGGGGTCCTGCGCCTGGGGGACGTGGCAGCCGGCACCGTCGTGTACCCGGGGGGCTGCGTGGCCCGGCTGGGCTCCTGGCTCCGTGGCCAGGCGGGCGGCATCGCGGCCGGCGCGGCCGCGCTGGTGCTGGTGGAAGCCGCCGGCGTGGTCATGGCGCTGAAGGTGCTCGGAGACATCGCACCCGGCGGGGCGCAGGACTGAGGGTTTGCCGGCCGTCACCCGGGGTCACGGGCACGCAGGGGAAGTCTGAGCCAGCCCGAAATAAACCTCAACACAAAGCCTGAACCCCATCCCTGTCCCATCCATCCCGCCCCGCCGCCTCAGCGAGACAACGCTTTCCATCTGCCTCCCTGCCCACTCCAGACCAAGACACCAGGCCCCCCCCGCGCTCGTTCTGGGTTTTAATGAGCATTTCTCCAGGCTGAGCCCTGCTGTGTGGACGGGGCGGCTTCTACCTACGCAGCGCTACGGGGAGGGCGGGCAGCAGCGGTCGCAGCCCGCCTAGATGATGCCGTACTGGGCCAGCTCGTGCAGCTCCAGGTGGCTGAAGGCTTCCCAGGGGCAGATGACGGTGATGTCTGGGGGGAGAGGAGAGAGGCTGCATCAGCATGACCCCCACCACAACCCCACACCCCCCCAACCCAGCTGCGGGGAGATCCCCACTCCCCATGCGTGGCAAAGTGGGGATGGGGACCCCCACTGCCCCGTACCTGTTCCCAGCCCTTCCATGCCCGGGATGTCGTCACCGAACCTGCAAACAGAGAGAGCGTGTCTGCCCTGACCCCCAGCCAGCCCCCCACCCGCCCCGGGTTGGCACATACGGCCGTGTCCCCCCCCCGCCATTGGAGCTCTGCCCCACTCACCCCTGCACCCCCTTTTTGGGGGGCTTGCTTTTGAACTGCCTTGTCTGCCTTTGCTTGAATTTAGCCGGTCCCTTCCGGGGGGTGGCAGGTCCCCCGGTCACCCTCGTGGCTGATTTGAACTCTGGTTTGGGGGGTTCCAAGCTCATGGCTGTGCCGGGGCTGGCAGCCTGCCCCCGGTCGCTGTTTTCCCTGCAGGTCTGGTGCCGGCACGGAACGTCTGCTCACACCTAATGGAGGGGATATGTGGGGACAGGGGGGGAGCAGAGGGGAGCACCAGCTTCTCCTAGCACCCACAGCCACCTTGTGCCCCCACTCCCACCCTGTCCTGCCCCGGGGCCCCTTGGCCATCACTGATCGGCTTTCTGAGCCTTTCCAGAGGAGAGCCTCCTCCCTGCAATCTTAATTTAGCCCAGCTCAGAGCCCGCTAATCCCCTTACTCCAAAGGCAGGAAAGGGCGTCCCCGAGGGCAGAAGAGCTGCCGCCTCCCCTTGGGGGGGGGGGGGGGGGTGTCTTTCTCCAACCCTTTCCCCCCACCCCAGCGTGGATGTGACACCTGGGGGGCCCCCACCACGGGATCTGTGCCGAGCCGTGTGTGCCCCAGCGGGTTGGCAGCGGTGCAGGTGTGCGAGCAAGGTGTCCCTCAGGGCTTGTTTGCAGCGGGATGGGTTTTGGGAATAGGGATGGGGGGCACCCCGGGGTGCAGACCCCTTGGGACCCATGCTGGGATGCAGGGGGGGGGGGGGGGCGGAGGGGCAGGGAGTGGAGGTCGGCCAGCCGAGGCGGACATTGCAGGGCAACACGTGGGCTCCGTCCCGCTGCGGTCGTGCCTCCTCCGGGCACGGCACCCACGCCACGGGCTTGGTTGCAGGAGTTCTGTGGCACAGGAGACAGCTCCAGCATTGGTGCGAGGGGGTTTGGTCCTGCTGTGGAGCCCAGTGGCTGAGCGCGGGCCCCGGGGAGATGCCAGAGACGCTGCTCTCGGTCGCAGGAGCAAGAGGCAAGAGCAGGCTCCTGCATGGAGCAAAGCGACCCACACCCCCGGCAGCCCCGGTGCCATCGGGACCGGGTCCCGTCCCACACACCCCCGACTTACGCAGCCGCCGCGGTCCCCGAGGCCAGCGCTGCTCCGCAGGAGACCCTCCGTCCCGCTCCTGCTCGCGCACGTCCTATAGACGCTCTGAGTGGCTTTTAGGGGAGGGCAGATTTATCCTGCTCTGGGGTAATAGGATTATTTATGTCCCTTCTCGACAAAGGGGTAATCTGACGTCCTTCTCCCCTGCTCCGCCCCGGTGGGACAGGGAGGGGGCGTCTGGATTAGTGCTGCTGGGACTGATGGCATCAGGATGAGGCAGCAAATCACCTGCAAAGGGATCCTGCTTCCTCTCCCCAAACCACCAGGGGATCCCCCGGCTCCCCCCAGAGATCACCCCGCTGCGCCTTGACCCCGGGGGCAAGGACAGGGCCCCCAGCCTGCTCAGGACCGTGGATGGGCTCTCCACGAGGCCCTGCGAGCTGGGAACCCAACACCCTTGGTGGGTTGACCCCCCCCAAGGGGAAGGCAGCAAAGCCACCGGGACGGGACGGGCTTTCAACTGGTGCCCTCCTCTTGGTGCTGAGCACGGTCCTGCCCCAAAAGCAAGGGCTGTGGGGTACTGCTGCCGGGGGGGGGTCCTGAGTGAAGGTCCTGGCCTGAGCATTGCGCCCAGGGAACAGCCCGAGCCCTGCCGGGGTGTGGGCATTGCCAAAACCCAGCAGATTTTGCAAGCCCAGCAGCCCTGCTTTCCACGGGACGGTATCATTCCCAAGCTTCCCTTAATCCCAGCCCTAAAGCAATTACAAAAAGGAGTAATCTCAGTACACTTTAACTGAACTTCAACCCCTGCCACTAATTGCAATTAGTTGGGCTCCGACAAATAGGATTACAGGGATCCAGGAGTGTTTTCTACGAAGCCGGTAGAACCAGCTACTTCTCCAGCAAAGAGCAGGGCCCCGGTGGTAATTGCTGCTTCCAGTTCAGGGTTCGTTAGCGAGTGCTACTCAAGGGCTTCGTGACTCCTTGGGGAGCTCATCCCGGGAGGACGGGGGCTCTGCAGGTGTCCCCACGGCCAGGAGAACTGCGAGGCCCCCCCAGCCCAGCCGGGTAAGATGGAGAGGAGGGTGTGCTGGGCTAAATTTATGAGGTTTTAAGATGGAGGCAAAGGCAATGGAAGAATAAAAGGGAGGGTGCAGAACAGCGTGGAAGGCTGTGACCTTGGTACTGGAGCTGGGGCTGGTGCCCTGGCCAGGCCCCATGTGCTTGGGGCCGCACGCTGCCCGCACCTCCTGCCCGGGGAAGGGGGTGGCAACGCTGGGTGCCCCCCCCCCCCCTCCCTGAGCCCTTTGGACAGAGAAGCCCCTAAGAGGCTTATGGCACCGGCGGGGAGGGGGGTCCAGCACAGCACCCCAGCCCTCCCTGATCACCAGGTCACGGCCAAGCCGCAGAAGGTGCTTAAAATCCAAGCTGGGGAACGCAAGGACGCAGCGGTGCAGGGCGAGGCGGGGGGGGGGGGGCTGGGGGTTGCACCAGCCTGTCCTTGGCAGGGATTTTCTGTCTGGGGGTGGGAAAGCACAGCATCCGGCTGCTGGGAAATCCGGGGCTCAGGACACGACCCCAAGGGCAGGTTCCCCCCTAGTCGAGAGGTGAGGCGGGAGCTGGGCACCTCCTGTATTGAAATTCAGATGGGATCCCGTGCTCGGCGCTGCGCAGGTCCCTGGGGGGGGGGCTCAGACCACCCCCAGAGCTCAACACACACAAATAAATACTTTAAATCATTCCGCATTCCACCACCCGGCCCAGAGCAGAGGCGCCCGGCGGGGGGGCGGGGTATCACCCGCCGTTTTTGGGGGGAAGCTCAGTCTTTCTTCATGCGCAGCCTGATCTCCATCTTGAGGATCATTTTAACGTTCTCGTCCTCCACCTGCTCCTCCACGGCCGCCAAAGCCCGTTCGCCGCCGTCCCGGTACCGCTCCAGCAGCTCCTCCACGTACCCCACCCAGACGCAATTGGGGCACCCGGTCCCGCAGCAGTGGGTGGGCGGTGGGGGGGTCGGGGGGTCGGCAGGACGGACCCCCCCCTCGCCCTGGGGGGTGTCCATCCTGCCATGGCTCTCCGGGGTGTCTGAGGTGGCGCCGGCCTTTACTGGGGTGTCCGAAAGTTCCCGAAGGGGGGAGGTGTTGGTGGGGTGGGGGTGCGCGGCGCCTTCCTTGAGCACCCCCCCGCAGCTGCTGGCACCGTCCGGGGGCTCCTGAGAATCACGACTGGGAGAAATGGGGGGGGGGGGGGAGGAGGGGGGGCAGCCCTGCCCCTCCCCAGCCAGAGGACCCCCACCCCGCTCCCAGTGTGTCCCCCCACCCCAGCAACACCCCCATTCCCCATCTCACCCCCCCTTACCCACCCCACTCCCTCACATCTCACACCCACACCCCCCCCATTCCCACCCCCCCCTTCTCACCCCTAACATTCCACTTGACCCCCCCAGTTCCTCCCCATCCCCCCATCTCACCCCTAACATTTCCCTTGTCCCCCCCCCTCGCTCCCCCCATCCCCGTACCCCCCATCTCACCCCTAACATTTCCCTTGACCCCCCCAGTTCCTCCCCATCTCACCCCCAACATTTCCCTTGTCCCCCCCCTCGCTCCCCCCATCCCCGTACCCCCCATCTCACCCCTAACATTTCCCTTGACCCCCCCAGTTCCTCCCCATCTCACCCCCAACATTTCCCTTGTCCCCCCCCTCGCTCCCCCCATCCCCGTACCCCCCATCTCACCCCTAACATTTCCGCTGACCCCCCAGCTCCCCCATCTCACCCCTAACACTTCCCTTATCCCCACCCCCCCCATCTCCCCTTTTGTCCCCCCCCCAGCCACCTACCCCATCCCCCCTTACACCCCCCCCCCCCCATCATCCCCGGCATTTCCTCGCCCCCCCAACACCCCGTGTCCCCCCCCATTTTCCCCCCCAATACAAGCCGCCACCCCCCCACACGCACCCTCCGGCGCGCCCCCGCCAAGCCGCGCGCCCCACGCAGCAACATCCGGCCGCACCGCCCCCGCCCGAGCGACAGCTCCTCCGGCCAATGGCAGCTCGGCGCGGCGGGCTGATAAGGGCGTGGCGGTGGGGGTGGAGCCAATAGGGAGCAAGGGGCGGGGCCGGGGAGGGAGGGAAGGCGGAAGTGGCGGCGGAAGTGGCGGCGGCGTGGGGAGCGGCGGAGCCATGGGCCGGGTGCCGGGATGGGGACAAGGACCGGGAAAAGGATCGGGAAAAGGATCGGGAAAGGGATCGGGAAAGGGATCGGGACGGGGACCGGCCGCCCCGCGCCGCGGCAGGTCGGTGATCCGGTCGGGATCGGGTCTGGCTGGCTCCCAGTTCGGTGCCTGCTCCCACAGCGGGGGGGCTCCGGAGGGGGTCCCCGCTTTTGGGGGCTGGATCCCCGTGTGTCCGTCCGTCCCTTCCCCCCCCCCCCCCCCCCGGTGGCGGGATCCCGGGGTGCTCTGCTATCCCGCCAGACCCGGGTCCCCACCTCCCCTTCGTGTCGCGGTGTCCCCCCCCCCACCCCGCGTCCCGCTGCCTCACGCCGCGTTTCGTTCCCTGGCAGGAAGGAGCGGAAAGCGGACAACATGAAACCCAAACACCCCGATGAGCAGGAGATCCCCTTCCGCCTGCGGGAGCTCATCAAGAGCCGGGAGGCCATGAAGCGCCCAGACCCCGGGAAGAAGCGGGCGGCAGGTGGGGCACGGAGCTGGTGGGACGCAGGGTGCCCCATCCCTGCCCTGCCAAGGCCGGGGGGGGACCCCCAGATCGCCGCAGTAACGTCGCCCGTCTCCCCTAGAGAAGAAGCAGCAGCCCAAGGCGAAGAGCCCCGTGGCCCAAGGAGACATCCCCGTGCCCAAATTCAGGAGGGGGAAGGGGGAATCGGAGCGCTCCTACGTCTGCCGCATGGAGCAGGAGGTGCAGCGAGTCCTCTTCCTCGCCAACAACCAGCTGCAGAGGGAGCCTGAGAAAAAGACGCCCGAGAAATCCAAGAGAAAGAAAGAGTGAGAGCAAGGGCCAGGGCGGCTGCCGGGGCAGGTTTCGGGTGCGTGGCGGGAGCTTTGCGGGTGCTGGGGCGCTGGGCTGGCGGCGATTCGGGGCGCGGGTGGAGGGCTGCGGGCCTCCTTACCTCAGGGTCAGATTTTTGGGAGCGGAGCCACAGTCCTGCTTGGCCCTGCTGCGCTGGAGCTGGGGGGAGAGCTGTGGGACCCCAGGTTTTGCGGGGATCCCACGGGGTAGCAACTTTCTTAGTTGCTCCCTGTCCAGTCGCGAGCTGTAACGCAGCTCTTCAGGTTTCAGAATAAGAAGCTGGAAAAAGCTCGGAGGAAGAAGGAGGAGAAGAAAGAGGCCATGCTGGAGAAGAGCCTGTTCCAAGGTGGGTCTGACAGTGGGGGGTGGCTGTAGTGACCCCCCCCCCCGGCCCCAGCAGCACGTGGAGGGGTGGGGGGTGAGGTGGGCTGGCGTGTTTTGGGGGAGCCCCTGCCTGACACCGGCACCTGCTTCTCTCTCTAGACGCCGTGGCGTTCGGCGAAGTGGTTACGCAGCCGCCCACCATCACCTCACGGCCCAGGGGCTGGGGCCCTGCTGAGCAGGTGAGCTTTTAGGGGGGGCGGGTGTGATGCCTCCCGCCCCTCGGCATCGCACGGCGCTGGGCTGGACCTGCATCACCTCCCTTGGGCTGGAAACAAAGCTTGGAAGGGCGGCGGTGGCCTCAGAGTCCTGTGGGCAGTTCCTCGGAGCCGTGTCCTGGCTTTTTCATCCTTCCTCCTCCCTGAGTCGTCCCGTCTCTCCCCGCAGGCTGGACGGAAGCGGCTCCTCTTGACGTCTCGCCTGGATCAGAACCAGGCGTCCCCCGCCGTGTCCCCGGCAGCGCCGGTGTCGATGGCTCGCCGGCGCATCGTGGAGGAGGAGAGAGCGCGCGTCGTCCAGGCTTACAGGGACATCCAGAGGCGCAAACAGCAGCAGCGGGAGGTGGCGCGGGGCAGCGCCCAGGCTGGACGCGGGGTCCCCCGCTGAGCCCAGCTTGGGGGGAGCTGAGCTTCCCTGGTCCCAAAGAGGGGTGTGCAGGCAGCACGGGACCCCAGGACTCGAAGGGGATGGTTGTCCTGAGGCTGCTCTTCCACTGCTGAGCCCTGGGGCTCCCCACAGCCCCTCAGCTCGGGGCACCCCATAGACCCGGCGCCGGAGCTGGGACCCCTGCGGTGCCACGGACCTGTGTTTTTTTTTTTTTTTTATCTTTTTTTTTTAATTTATTTTTTTTGTAGTAAAAGAGCTGTTGAATGTCGATGGCGTGAGCACATCTGCGCCTCCCCGACCCGCCCGCCGTCCTCCCTGTGTGGCGGTGGCCGCCGGGAAGGGACACGCTGTGCCGGTGTCTGGCTGTGCCGGGCGGCGTGCCGGCAGATGGCAGTCCTGGCCCGCAGCGGGCACGTTGTCACCCTCGCTCGCTGGGGGCTGGTCCTGGGTTGGGGAGGGGACAAGAACCCTGCCTGCTCAACCTCAGCGGAGACCCCAGTGCCACGAGCCCTGCGGCTCCCAGTTGGAGGAGAGCTGCGCTCCGGCCTCCCCCAGGACTCCTCTGCGTGGTGTCCTTCTCCTCCCTTGTCACCGCTCGGGGATGCCACGTCAGCCCTTTGTCTGCACCGCTGCTCCCCCCCCCCCCCCCAAGCCCTCAGCATCACCCCCCCAGCAGCTCTCCCCCACCTCACGGTGACCGCGGATGGGGACGCTGCCGCAGCCCCATCGCCGCACCCACACTCACCCCCTGCAATCCAGCCCTGATCCGGGGGGGGTTGGGGGGGGCTAGCAGCACCACCCCCAATTCCCAGCTCTCGAGGAGGGGGCACAGGGGGCTGCTCCCGGCCCCGGCACAGCCCGTGGGGCCGGTGTGGTGGCTTCACCTGCGCGGGACAAAGGCAGGGCTGTTCGGCGGCCCCGTGCCCGCACAAAGCAGTGCCTGTTGGAGCAGGGACGGCCCCGGCTCTGCGGCCGGCGATGACGGCAGCCGGTGGGATCCCGGTTTTCCGGAGGGGCTGGGGCCAAGTACGGGGAGCGGAGCCACCGGCAGCTCTGGTGTCCCCTCCCAGAGCGGAACGGGGACAGAGCTTGCTCATTCTTTCAGGCGACCGCAGTCCCCGGGGCTGTCACCTCCTTTGCACCCCGGGAAGACGGAGCTCTGCCGCGCCATGGCTCGGGACGTTGCCCGTGCCAGCTCAGGGCCAGGCTTGCAGGTGGATGCCCCTTTTGGGGAAGGCAAGCCGAGGGGGGAGGCCCCACCGTGCTGATCTGTGTGGTGCCAGCAGCCAGCAGAAGGGCATGCTTGGGGACTTCGAGTGCCTGGTGCTGCTTGGAGATGTCCCCGCTGCCGGCTGGCGCCAGGTAAACACGGGTGACGCAGAGCAGCCCTGGAGAGGGGCGGGGGGGGGAGAACGACCACATCCTGCCGCAAACAGCCGGGTCCTGAGGCCATCCCCAGCCTTGGCGGGGCAGTGGGGGGGGGGGGGGCTGTGCCTGCCCCACTGCGTCCCCCCAGCCGGGACCGCTGGCTGGCACGGCCACAGCTGGGACAGGGCGTGTGCCGAACTCTTGCTCACGCTGGCGACCACCGGCAGCCCCACCGCCCGGCTCCAGCTCAAGGAGACCAGGTCACCCGCCTGCCCCCACGGAGCCATTTTCAACCCCTGAATAATTCATGGCGCTGCTGGCCGAGGCCACAGGCTTCCTGCCCGGCAGGAGAAAATCGCGGCGGAGGGGAAAGGCAATCTGAGCAGGAGAAACCGCCCCCGACCTTGGCACGTCCTCCGTGCCCTGCCGCTTCCCGCCAGGCAGCCCATCTGCCCACGGTGCTGCAGGCACGGCTGCCCCGTCTGTGCTCCTGGCCCCGGGACATGCTGGGGGTGGGGGTGGGGGGAGGATGAGGGGTACCTTGCCCTGACCCCCTCTTTGCTCCCCCCATCATTCCCCACCCCCCCCCAGGAGTGGGGATGTAGGGCTGAACCCACGGGCGGCGTGACGGAAGCCCTTGGCTGCGTGTGGGGTGAGGGGATGGGGGAGCCGGGCCCCGTCACGGGCCGCCTGCTACGGCACCGTGTAGGAAAAAAAACACTTTTAATGGGGCTGACCTGAAAAAAAAAAAGGGGGGAGAGGAAAAACGACAGAGAAAGCCACGAGGAGGACGAGGGGCCCAGCTCCCTCCCCGCTCCTCGGGAGGGATCCCCAAGCCCCAGGGAGGGGGGGAAGGCACAGAGAAGGCAGCTGGAGCCGTGAGGGGGGGCCGAGTCCCCAGCCCCAGCAAGGCACTGATCCCCCAGATCCCCGAGCAGCCCCCCGCTTCCCCAGAAAGAGGGAAACTGAGGCACGGCGGGAGCCAGAGCTGGGAAGAGCTTTGCATCACCTCGTGCCCTGCGGCGGGACGGTGCCAGCTCGGCTCAGGGCTTGTGACATCCCCGAGGCTGGCGAGGGTCAGCATGGAACTGGGGTCCCAGTGCTGGGGGGGGGGGGGGAAGCACTGGGCACGAATCCCACCGGCTCCCTGGCAGCGGATGGTTCCTGGCCCATCCGGGGTGGGGGGGGACGGGGTGTCCGTGCGTCACGAAGAGCAGCGAGGGGGACAACTCGGGGTGGCCCCGTGGGAGCCGGTCTTTGCGGCGGGGACGCGGGGATCATCCGGGCAGAGCCGGCAGCGTGCCAGTGCCGTGGGACGGTGGGGACAGGAGCGCTGGCTCCGGGACTGTGTCCTGGTGTGTGTGTCCCCCCCCACGCAACCCCGCAGGATGCCGGACGGGGTGGGATGTACGCGGCGGGGCGGGAGGAGGTTTGGCGAGACCTCGGGAGCGGGCCGGCGTGTGCCGCGGCTGTGCCGGCGCTGCGGGACCCGTGCCGTGCCGCGGCGGGGGCTTCACCACCGGTTCCTGCCGTACGGGGACTGCACCTGCGGGCAGAGCGGGACGGCGCTGGGGTGGCACGGACTTTGCCCCCCCCTCTCCAAGCCTCGGCTGCGGGCTGGACCTCAGCACCCCGGTTCCCTCCGCCCGTCGCGTTGCACATTAACCCACCTGGCAGCTCCTGCCGTCGCTCTGGGCGCCGGCGTGCCGGGCCTGCGCCGCGAAGGCGTCCTCGGCACGCAGCGTGGAGCTGGCGCTGCCGGCCGCCGGGCTGGCGGTGGAGGCGCGGGGCAGGATCACGTCGTAGGGACCTTCGGTCTGAAGGGCAGAGGAGGGGCTGCACCGGGAGCACCCCCAAACCCGCGGGGTCTTGGGGGGAGGAAGATGAGGGGTGACCCCGCTCCCTGGCACCGCACTTACCGGCCCCTTGTGCATCAGAGCCATCTCGGTGGGCTGGTAGACGCTGGTCAGCAGTTGCCCGTTGTAGCCGCTGTACGGGGACACCGGCTTCTTGGCTGCGAAGAGACGGGATGGTGAAAAGAGCCGGGGGTGGGGGGGAAGCTCACAGAGTCACCCCCCACCCCCCCCCCTCTGGGGAGCCCGCCCTCGTTAGCAGGTTTAATGAGCTGACTCCGCAGCTGCTCTGCGCCTTTCCCGGCGCGGGGAGGGGACACGCACGACACAGGAGGGCTTGTCCCCAGGGTTTGCATCACCACACTCCCAGCCCAGCCAGAGTTTGTTATTGTAGGGTCTCTGGGGAGGCAGGGTGGCTGCTCGGGAGCGCCCACGGGCTGCGGACACCTTCGGTGGGGCAGGGCGGGCGCCCACCCCCCTGGTCCCCATGGGGGCAGCTGCCACCGCCCCATGTTATTGTAGGGTCTCGCCAGAGCCGCCGCGGTGTCAACGCTTGGCCTGTTAGGAAGAAACGTGGCGGAACGGCTGCCCGGGGCGGAGGGCCGGGAGCCGTGGGCACCCCACGCCGGGGAAGGGAGCACCCCTGCCACCGCTGAGCTCAGCCCAAACTGGTAGACCCAGCCCAGCGGGTTTTCGGGAGCCACAACAACATCAGGCTCGATCCCGGGCGGGTCGCGACCAGACGTCTCGCCGCCGGTGCCGGTGCCCGCCGCCAGCCCTGCCGTGGGGGGGGGGGGCCAGAGGGTCCCTTGGGAAGGGGGGGGCGGTGTCCCCCGGCGCCTACCGAAGGAGGGCTCGTCCATGGAGAAGGCTTTGTTCTCCACAAACATGCTCTGCGACTTCTGCTCCTTGAGGATGGTCTCGTAGCCCACCCCGCGCGTGGGGTAGACGTCGTCCTCGAAGGCCTCCTCGGGGTCGCGCCGCGTCACGTGCGTCACCTCGGGGATGACGTAGAGGAGGAGGAAGGCGCAGGCGTTGGAGACCAGCGCGATGGCCAACGTGGGGTCATCCCAGCCGGGCTTCTCGCCCGCGCGCTGGTTCCCGTAGAGGTACATGGCTGTCCACGCCACCCAGATGGCCACGGAGAGGCCGGTGGTGGCCAGGATGAAGGCACCGTGCTTGTGCCAGCGGCCGTAGTGGCCGCAGAGGACGGGCCAAGCGGTGCCGAAGGCGGCCACCAGCAGGAACATGACGTAGATGAGCGCCATGACGAAGTCAGCGTCCGCCAGCCGGCAAGGGTCCGGGGAGCCACCCTCCCGCCGCGCCACCGTGATGAGGAGCCACTCGGCGTTGATGATGACCTCCACCAAGGCGAGGAGCAGGGCCACCGCCAGCGTCACCCAGCCCCGCGGGCCTCGGTTCCTGCGCGCCAAGAAGTTGAGGGCCACGGCGTGCGCCAGCAGGCAGGAGAAGCAGATGCCGAAGAGGACGCCGAAGAGGAAGCGGCGCGAGGTGCAGGTGGAGAAGTCCGGCCCCACGATGAAGTCGAAGGTCAGGCAGAAGAGCCCGAAGGTGCCCAGAAGAAAGAAAACCTGCGTGGCCACCAAGCTCTTCTTCTGGGGGTCCTGCACGAAGGGCAGGCTGGCCACCAGGACGATGGTGAGCACGAAGCTGGTCACCACGCCGAGGCTAGCCACGGCCTCCAGCACGATGCCCCAGGCCGCCGAGAGGTCGCAGAGGTTGTAGTAGAGGGAGGAGAGGTCCTTGCCGCAGCCGGAGGGAGGGGTGCTCTGCCCGCCGGCCGCGGGGAGCAGGGCCAGCAGCACGCCGGCGGCCGCCGGCAGCACCGCCGCAGCACCCATCCTGCACCGCGGTGCGGGCGCCGAGCGGGCCGTCCAGGGACCCTGCGGGACAGAGAGGGCGTTCGGAAGCGGGACCGGGGCCTTGGCTCAGCTCCCGGCACTGCCCGCGCCGGCTCCGGGGCTCGGAGCATCCCGCCTGCCGGGCCACGGTGAGCAATTACATCCCGGTGAGCCCCAGTCGTGCCGGCACAGCCGAGCCCAGCCCGGTGTGGCCCAAAGCAGACCGGGGAGCAGACTGGGAGCTCCTTGCCTGGAGGCAGCCGGGGGGGGGGGGGCTCAGCCCCCTCTGCGCCCCACACGCTCCCTCCTGATGTTGGATTTCTCCGAGCGCGGCTCCGGGGCTGTGCCGATCCCTTCCTCCGGTACCGGGAACCAGCAGCACCGTGCCCGCCGGCTTCCCCGGGAACACCGAAGGCGGGTCTGGGCCGGCTGGCCGAAGTAATGCTTGGGGACAGGGCTGTCCCCTCGGCTTGTCCCTGCGTGCCAGCGTGTTCCCCTTTCCACTTCTCCTGTCCCACTTCCCCCCTCCGGCTCCGGGCACTGACCCAGCGCAGGTCCCGTGTCCGGCGCTGCCGGTCGCTGGCAGGCAGGCAGCCGCAGCTTGGCACGGCACGGGGGTCCCTGTCCCCACTCTTGAGAACCCGGGGAGTGTGGGGTGGGCACGGGGAAGAGGAGGCAGCGAGGAAAGTGCAGCCCCACTGCTGGGGATGGGGGGGGGGGGGGGGGAGCGGAATCCGGGAGGAGACCTCCAGCAAGGTGACCCCGGGCTGGAGCGGGAGCGGTGCCCGGGGCTGGGACCCCCCCTCCCGTTCCCCCGAGCGGCACCCGGACTCTGGGCAGCCCCCGCCCCCGGGGCTGCCGCGGCGGGATGGGGACAGGGACCCCCGACACCCACGACCGCGGGTCGTACCGGTTCCACCACGCCCGGCCCGGCCGCTCCTCCCCGGGCGGCTCCGGTCCAGTTTCCCCGCACCCCTGGCCCGGTTCCCACGTACCTCCCACCCGGTACCGGCACACTCCCCCCACCCTCCCGCCCGGTACCGGACCCCAAAACTTGCCCAGATCCGCCCCCAAATCTCCGCGGGGGCGGACGGGTTCCGGATCCCGACCCGTTACCGTTCCCGGTCTCCCCCCCGTCTCCAGCCCCGCAGGGCTCGACCCCCGGCCCCGCTCACCGGCTCCGCCGTGCCGTGCCGTGCCGTGCCGTGCCCCGGTCCCGCCGCACCGTGCGCGCCTGCCCGGTCCGGCCCCTCCCCGAGGTGCGGCTCTGCCCGGGGAGCGCGCCCGGGGCCGGCCGGGACCTGCCCCGCTGCCGCGGGACCGAGCCGGGCCGGGGACCCGCACCGGGAGGGGGGTACCGGCCCCGGGGACAAGGAGCGGGAGGGAAGCGGGGGCAGAGCCCGGGATGGGGCGGGGAGGGAGCGGGGGAAGAGTGAAGCTTTCACCGGGGCGGGAGAGGGGGGGGATCGGTACGGGAGCCCACCTGGCCATCAGTGGAATGAATCTGTGGGGTCTCAGCCCGGAGGAGCTGGGTCAGCCCGGCCCTGCGGAGCTCGGGGGGAGCGTGGGGGCCGGAGCGGGGGGGTTGTGCCGGGGCAGCATCACCCACACGGGGCCTTGCCACCGACCGTCTCTTGGGGCTGGGCTGGCGGAACTGGGCGGCTGGTGGGTGGGAACTGGGGAGCGGGGCTCTGCAGGTGGCCCCCCCCCGCCGTGTAAGGGTACACCGGATCCCGCCGGGAAGCCCCGAAGCGCAGGCCCGGAGGGGCCTCCCGGAGGAATGTCAGCTGACGGCTAAAGCCGGAGCCCTTGGCAGGGCGGCAGGGCCCCAAAAATACCCTTTCTGCGAGGGACCGGGGGGGCCCGGGGTAGCCCCAGCTGGGGACAGCACATGGGGCTCGGTGGTCCCTGTCCCGGCGAGGGTGGCCGAGCACCCTGGAGCTGGGCATGGGCACCCCACAGTCACCCCATCCCTGGGGCTTGGGGATGGGGAAGAGCCGCCCCCCCCCCCCCCCTTCCCACCCTCCCCCCAAAGCCTGGGGGTGCCGCGGGGGCCCCGCCAGCCCCGGGGGGGAGGTTTCCAGGCAGGCGCTGCTATTTTGGGAGAGTGAAGCAAGAGGGTGAAGGATGCAGATGAAAGTTCACCGCGCCTCCGGCAGGTCCTCCCCCAGTCCGGGCCCGGGATGAAAACAATCCGAGGAGAAAAGGCGGCAGAGCCGGAGCTGGCAGCACCCGCGGCACGAGGACCGGCACCCGCCGGAGCCCGCGGGGAGGAGGAGACGGCGTGTCTGGGCCGGGTGCTGCACCCGCTGCCGCCGTCCCTCCGGCGCTGGGGCCTTTCTCCTTCCTAAAGAGCGTTCGGCTTCAGAGCGGCGTTTGGGGGAGAATTGTTCCTCCCCCGCCGGGGCACGTGCACACGCGTGTGCTCTCTCGCACGGGCGCCGGAGCAAGGCGGCGCGGCCAGAGGGGGGTCTGCGGTGGGGTTTTTTGTGCCTCAGTTTCCCCCGGGGAGCCGGGGTTCAGCCTCACGGGGCTGCTGGTGATACGGCTCCCCGGCAAAGGCTCAGCCGTGGGTAACCGGTGCCGGGAGCGCTGCCCTGCCGCCCCCGCGCCGGCGCTGACCCAGGCCCGAGCCGCGGAGAGGCCGCGCTGCACGCGGCTTCCTGCCGGCTCCTTCCTTCCGCCGGCGGGTTTCCCGGCTGCTGACTCAGCACGAGCCCCCCCTGTGACCCCCACACTTGCCGGGGGGGCTGCTGGCAGGCGTCCGTCCCGCCAAAGCTGCCCCACAGCCACGCAGCTTTCAGTCCCCCCTCCGGCATCCCCACGGCGGGTTTCCTTCCCCCTTTCTGGGGCGACCTTCCTGGCTTTCCAGCCCATGCTGCACACCTCTGGGGTTTCTGTAGGTCCTACAGAAACACCCCGCCAGGGAGGTGGCTGCGGGGTAGGTTGGGTGCGATGCCACCACGTGCCGGCTGCCTTGCAGGGACCAAGCGTGGGCTGCAAGGGAACCGGCTGCCCCCCTGCCCCCTCCTGCGGCCACACACCGGGGCGGTTGGTGCCTGGCACAGCCCTTTCGGTGAGGGCACAGCCCGGCCCCGGTTCCCCGGGTGGGTTGGGGACCGCGGTCCCTGCGGTGGGAGCGGGCAGAGCCGGTCCCTCTGGCACAGCAGCCGCGGCGAGGGGCTGGCACGCGGCTCAGCCCGGCACCGGGACCTGGGCCAGGCTTCCCCGCCGGCTCCCTCCAAAAACATCGGCACGCCGGGCACATTTTTTCCAGGCTTACCTTTCCTATGGAGCCGCAGGGCCGGGCGGCGGCGTGGCTGGCACGGCGGCACGGCCAACTCCGTGGCGGCTCACCTCGGGGAGGTGAGAGCCGTACCTGGAGCCGGGGAAGGGGTGGGGGGGGGGCCCCGCTCGCCCTCCCCACCACCACCACCGCTCAAGCCAGGGCTGGGGAGCTGTTTTCCACCCGAGCCGGTTCTGTCCAGCCCGGAGCCCCTCGCCGCCGGCGGACGCGGTCAGCACATTTCCACCTCCCTTTCCAAGTAAATAAGCACCGGTTGGCGAGGGGGGGGGGGCAGCGGCAGTCCCGGCCTGCCGCAAGCTCCTGCCAAACGCTGCCCTGGCCAGCCGAGCCCCCCTGCCCGTGGCCCCTCCAGCCCTGGCGAAGGGCCCTGGGGTGGGATCCGGCCCTGGAAGCCCCCAGGGAGGGGGGCCCACCGGGCGGGAGGCGCTGCCCGGGTTAATATCTAATCTCTTCCCAGTCCTGCTCTCCTCACATGCCAGAATTAATGGAGCGAGCACCTCCCAGTATCACCCGCGCCGCCGCGTCGGGCTTTAACCCTGGCACCGGGCGTACGGGCAGAGCCGGATCCTGCGCTGGCACGCACCGGTGCTGGGCAGCCCCAGGGCCTGGGGGGGGTCAGGGCTCATCCAGGGGGTAAACGCTGCACCCCGTCCCACCCCAGTGCTGGGCACAGCTTGGTGGGGTGGGCAGGAGGGTCTCTGTACCCCAAATCCTGCCCCCGCCCCGGTGGGGGGGTCAGCCAAGCCCCTGCACCCCTGGGCACTGTCCTGTCTGGTCTCTGGGGAATTAAAGCAGAAAGGCTGGTCTGTTTTTTTTTTTTTTTTTTTTTTTGAGGCGGGGAGGGGGGGGGATTACACCAAGGGCCTTACGGAGGAATTAGGGTGGAGAGCAGGACGGGCAGGGCTGGTGAGGGGGGCTGGGGGGCCCAGCTCTGCAGGGTGTCCCGTCCCTGCCCTCTGGTGGCAGTTGGGGACAGACACAGCACGGCCGCTCGCCCAGCGCCGCACCAGTTTGGCACTGGTGTAACCGGGAGGGCCGCGCCGGTGCTGGGTGCACTTGAGGCAGGGGGCGGGGGGGGGTGCATCGTGAGCCCCCTCTTTTGCAGCCGGTGGGAGATGCTGTTGCTGCAGCCTTGTGCTGGGGTGCACCCAGGGTGCCCGGGGGATTGCAGGGTGGCTCTCCGGGGAGGCTCTGGGAGAATAATGGGTGGGGGCCAGTTCCTGCAGAGCCCGGAGCTGGGGTCTTACCGTGAGCCCAAACCCCACTGGGGACGCTGGACCCCGTGGGTGCTCCCTCCCAGCACCCACCCAAGCAGGAGCACCGGGGTGGGCAGGGCTGAGACGGGGACCCTGTGCCCAGGGGTGCTGGGGCAGGGTGCCCCCATCCCGGCTGCTCGCAGGGAACGGGACCCAGGCAGAGTTTTGGCCTCAGCGTGGCGGTTTATGGAGGAAGGACCATCCCACCCACACCCAGCACGTCCTTGCCGGGGCCCACGGGAGCTCACCTGCGCCCGTCACCCCCCACCACGGGGCAGCCGGGACCTCTGGCTTCCCCCAGGACCTTCGGTGCGTCGGGCTGGAGCTGATGCAGGAGAGCAGCCGGGAGCGCGGTCACACTCCCTGCCCGTGGAAACCCCACGAACCCCACGGCCACGGGGCTGGAGAGGAGCCCAGCGTGGGGGCACATGAGGGGCGGGCAGTGGCTCCTGCCACTGAGCTGGGGCACGTTCTGGCTGCCCCGTGGCTGTTTCTTGGAGGGGGAGGGTGGGGTGTGCTGAACGCTGCGCACCCCAAGGGGCTGAGCATGGGCAGGGGTCCCTGGGGTGCAGCGGGTGCCACCACCGGGCAGCCTGAGGTCCCCAAACAAACACAACCAGCCGGCTGGGCACAACCAACCGCCTCCTCTTGTCACCACCACCAGCACCCACGTTAACCCCCGAGGGTGGGATCGCGGCGGCAGCGGCCCCGGGGCAGGGTCTCACCGGGTCCGGGTGCGATGCAGGGGGCTGGGGGAGCCCCGGGACCCCTGGCCGAGCAGCCCCGGCTCAGAGGGCCGTGCCGGCCAGCAGCTCCAGCGGTTTCAGGGCCGGGGGTGGGAAGCGGCCGCTGCCGGGCCGGGGGCCGTGCCGGAGGTGGGCTCGGAGCACCTCACCCACCGTACGGCGAAAAGTCTGGCTGACAAAGCAGTAGAGGAAGAAGTTGAAGGTGGTGTTGAGCATGGCCACCATGTTGGCGATGTCCAAGGCCAGGTGAACGCGCCAATCCCTCTTGACCGAGGCCACGTAGAGGTGGCAGATCATGACGACGGTCCGGGGAGCCCAGAGCACGATGAAGACGGTGGTGACGGCCAGGAGGAGGGCCGTGGTCTTGCTCAGGTGGGGTCGGCCGCCCCCCGAACGCCTCCGCCGCTTCAGCTTGCGGATGATGATGGAGTTGGTGGCCAGGAAGATGCTGCAGGGCAAGAAGTAGACGGTGACGCAGTGCACCCACTTGAGCACCGTGTCCAGGGCGGTGGGGGGGTCGGCGTCACGCCACACGTCCAGCCACCAGTAGAAAGGGATGCCCGTGGCCAGAGCCACGGCGAAGACGGCCGCGATGATCTTGCGGGTGCGCCGCGGGTAGGAGACGGCGCGGTACCGCAGCGGGTGGCAGAGGGCCACGTAGCGGTCCATGGTCAGCAGGACGGTGACCCAGATGGAAGCGTGGTTGGCCGTGAACTCCAGCACGTTGACGGTGTGGATGAAGGCGCTGGGCACCGCTCGGGCCAGGATGGCCGTCTGCAGGATGAAGCCCACAAAGATGATGAAGACCTGGCTGAGGATGTCGGAGGTGGTCAGGGCCAGCAGGTACCAGTACGATGATTTCTTGGTCCTCGTGGCCAGGCGGGACAGGGCCACGGCGGTCAGGACATTCACTGGAGGGAGGGGAATGACGTGCGGTGGTGAGACCCCAGGTGCTCACAGCTCCCCCCTGCAGCACCCAGGACCCCAGGGGTGCCCAGTCCCTCCCAGGGCCGCAGGGCGAGCGGCACCCAGCCCCAGCTGGGGTGAGGAGCTGGAAATATCACCGTGCTTTGCTGAGCTGATTAATCTCTTCCATGTGTCAGCCCCAGCAACACAAATACCATCTGTCCCTGCTGCTGCGGCACCAGCCACGTGGGGCTGGGTGTTACAGCCGGGCACCGCAGCCGGGGGTGGGCCCAAGGCCGGGGGGGGGAGGCCCACAGGGAGCAGGTTGGTTTCCCCCACCCCCCTGAGGACCCCCAAATCCCCATCCCCCCAAATCCCTGGCATCCCCGAAAGATGGGGGGCTGCTGGCAGCCGAGGACGCAGGTTGGGCTGAGGGTGCACAGCACAGGTGAGGTGGGATGGGTGCTTCCCCCCCCCCCCCCCCCCATCACCCCCAAACCCCAAACCCCTCACCTGGCAGCCCCAGCCCCAGCAGAACGCTGTAATACACGACGGGGAAGATGCCAACCATGCAGGGCGACCGCTCCAGCTCCGGCCGTGCCGCCTCGCCGGCCCATGCCATCGCCGTGCCGTTGGGCACCGGGACCATCGCCTTCCGCCACGCACCGGCTGCGAGGGGAGACCGGGAGGGTCAGGGGGGAACCTTGGGAGGGCGGGGGGTTCACTCGGGGTGGGTGAGCTCCCATCGGGGGTGTTTGTGCTATGGCTGCCGGCGATGACACATTTTGGAGCTGCCTGCTGCCCACGGATGCTGCCGGACCCCCGTGGGGACGCCGGGGTGACGGTCCCCATAAAGGAGGGTGGCCCCCCTGCCCCTTTATCACCTTGAAAAAAACATCAGATTAAAACACCACGTTCGAGGGTGGCTGCTGGGGGGGGGGGGGGGGGGGGGGGCAGGGGAGAGACCCTGACTCCTGGCCCGGGCTGGGTGTCACCCGGGGGGACCTCAGCAGTAATGGGGAGGACCCAGAGATGCCGGGAGGGGGGTCCCAAAGGTGCCGGGGGGGGTGTCCCAAAGGTGCCAAGGTGGGGAGGGGTGGGGGGTTGCCCATCTCCAGGTTGCCAGCCGGGTCCTTCTCCAGCTCCTCGGCACCCGCGCCCGGATCGGGCCCATCATTCATAAACCCGGGTAGCACCACCCCCCCCCCCCTTTGCCGAGTTCTGCGCTCCTATTGGCTAGAGGGGACCAGGCTTCACCCAATCAGAGAGGGGTTCTCCAGGAATGGGGTGGCCAAGCGTGAGCGCCGCGTTCTGATTGGTCAGAATCCCTTTCTTCTCCCCCCCCCCCCCCCAAATTAGCATCTCCTGAGGGGGATGGAGACCCCCCCCCCCATCTGGGTCCTAGTGCTGGAGGAGGGTGCGGGGGGTGTCCTGAGCCCGGGGGGGGGGCTGAGAGGCGGGTCCTGAGCTCGGGGGGGTGAGGGGCGCGGAGGGGGGGTCCTGAGCCCTGAAGGGGGGTGGGGGTTGATGCTGGGCACCAGTCCGACCCTGGCCCCACAGGGAACTGGCCCAGTCCCAGTCGCCGCTAAACCCGACAACTCCAGGGCGGGGGGGGGGGGGGAGATACACCCCCTTGTCCCCCGTTCCGCGCCCCCCTCAACAGTGCCCGGGGTGGGGGGGGGGCCCGGGGGGGGCTTTGCCCGCTGCGCCCGGCCGGGCTGGAAACAGAGACCCTGAGCAGAGGCGCGGGGGGCGGAGGGGGGGGAGGTGTGGATGAGCAGAGGGTTGCCAATTAACTGCAAATTAGATCTGGCTAATCAGCCGGGGCAGGTCCCTTCCCGTCCCCCGGGGAGCTGGGGCATCGATCGCTGCAGCTGCGGCAGGAGCGCCTTAACCCTTTCCCTGCCCTGATCCCTTTTGCTCTGCGGTGGAGGGCGGGGGGGGGGGTGTGTGGTGGTGTGTCTGGGTCCGATCTGGTGTGTGTGTGTCCCGTCCCCCCCCACCCTTAACCCCCCCTCTCCGCCCCGGGGTCCCGCTCCCCAAGCCCTGCGGGAGATGGGCTCTCACCTCGGTGGCCCCCCGGTGCCACCCCGTTGGGTGTGTGATGGCCACTTTCCCTGGGCCCGGAGAGCCACCGGTGACCGAGTCCTTGCTGGTGGCCGTGTCCCCGTCCGTGGCCGTGTCCCCGTCCGTGGCTGTGTCCCTGTCCGTGGCCGTGTTCCCCTCCGGCACCCACAGCATCGCGCAGCCTCCCCGGGGCATGAGGGACGTGGGGCGGAGGGAGAGCGGCGTGGGCAGAGCCGCGGGCTGGGCTAGCGGGGCAGGACGTCCCCGGGCCCCGTTGCCCTCACGGGGACCGAGGATGGGGTCACCTGGGGTGCCGTGCCAGCCCCGAGGGACCGCGACAGAGCTCGTCCCCTCTCCTGAGTGATAGGGATGGTGGTTGGGGTGCTTGGGGACAGCTTGGACCCCCCTCTGTTATATGCAAAGGCCTGTATCCCCGAGGTGGGGCGCATCGTTCTTGCACCCGCACCCCCAGCACCCTTCCTTTGGGTGCTGGAGCCCCAATGTCTCACACCCTGAGGATGGGGGGGGGGGGGCTGGGGTGGGTGTGGGCAGGGCCTGGTGAGGTGCCGGGGTCCGCGTGTGCACATGTGTGCATGTGCGTGTGCATGCGTGTGCGCCTGCCTGCCTGTCCCGGAGGGAACTGGCACAGCCCAAGAGGGAGAGCCTTGCCCATGCCTCAGTTTCCCCAGCAGCTCAGAGAAGGGTGGGCAGGCTGATGTCCCCTACCCGTCCCTGAGGCCACCTAGCCCCCCGGAACCCCCCTCCCCAGTGCCCCCCCAGTTCTTGGGGGACAGCCGCCTGGCATGGGTCACTATGGTGAGCCAACCCTCCACCGCCGCGGTCGCAATTACCGGAGACAGCGCAGCTGCTCTCTCCATCCCAAGAGGGGCTGGGGGATGGACGCCCTGTCCCTTGGCGACCCCCAGCACGGTCCCCACGTGTCCCCCGACGTCCCGCAGCCTGTGTCACCGTGCCCCGTGGCCAGCTGATGCCCCGGCCTTGGGGGGGGACACAAGGGTCCCTGATCTGGAGGGTGCAGCCTGGGCTGGCAGGGCGCTCCGGGCAAGCTGTTGTTTTGCAGGCAGGTGGTTAAATGAGGCGTCGGTGGACGCGGTGAGGCATTAACCGGCTGTGCCGCGGCGGGGGCCCCTCGTCCCCCACCTCGCCGTGAGGCAGGAATGCCCGCCTGGGCTGCCCAGCTCTGCTTACACCCCGCTCTCGGGGCTCCCCTGTTCCCCCCGGGGCCACAGACCTCAAGCCCCAGCCCCACACCAGGCATGGCATCGCCTGGGGAGCCCCGGGAGCGCGGCACACGGTGCCTGGGCGGCTTCCCCCCAGCCCCTCCACCCATCAGGGCTGGATGGGTGCTCCCCCACCCCGCCGGGGGGGCTGCGGCAACATCTGCCCACGCTCAACATCTGGAGGCCCCCCTCTCTAAACCTGGGCTCCTCGCTCGCCCTCCAGGGCCGCGGCTGTGCTCGGGGACGGGGCTCCTCGGCCCCGCGTCCCCGTTTTGGATCCCACGTGACCCCCCGAAGCCAACGTGTCCTCAGAAGCCCTCGCCGGCACAAAAGCACCCCCGGCCACGGCAGCAGCACCGGGAGGCACTGCGCCAAGGCCGGGCAAGCTGACGCAAAGGGGCAGATGGGCTGAGCACCCCCGACTCAGCTGGACCCCCCCCCACCCCCCCCACCCCTGCCCAGCACGGAGCCCCGGCCACCACCGGCCTCCCACTGGCCACCCTCACCCCCTTGCTCCCCATCCCACCAGCCGCGGCACGGTGTCCCTCTGCGGGGTGCTGGTGCTGGCACAGTGTGTGTGTGTCCCCCCCCCACCCCCCCGTGGGTGCTGGGGAGGGTGCGGGGTGTGAAATGGGTGCCAGCTGAACACAAAGCAGCAATAATACCGCGGGCACCGGTGCTAATCCCATCAACCCCGACAGATACTCGATAACCCGGGAACGGTTAACATCCCCCCCCAGCGCAGGCTGAAGGTCACAGCATCTCCCCGGTGGTGTCCCCAGGAGGGGGGGGGGGCCCAGGCGCTGCCCCCCATGGCATGTGGGGTGCTCCTCCCCTCCCGGAGTGACCTTGCGCAATGGGGGTCCCGGTGCTGAGCGTGGTGCTGGCAGCTCCTGCCTGGTGGAGCACCGAGCTGTGGGGTGGGGGGGCTCCCACCCGGCCTGGCAGCCCCCACCACCTTCACAGGGAGCCTGGACAGTGGGTAAGGGGCTGCCGTGGGCGTGGGAGCTGGGCTGCTGCCGCCTGTGGGGTCTGACCCCCCTGGGTGGGTCCCAGCTGGGGGTCCCAGTTTTGCCTCCTCACCCCAGCGGGACCAAAAGTGGGGTGCAGCCACCCCCCCCCCCTCCCGCTTGCTCAGGCTGCACCAGCCAACGCTCCCACGCAGAGGGGTGCCCGCGTCCCACAGCAGGGTTTTGGGGGGGCACCCAGCCCCATGCCCGAGCCGCACCAGTGCTGGCGTGTGGCACTGGGAGGCGGGGGGGGGGGGGCTGTGGGGGGGGATAAATGCCACCCCAGCCCCATCACGAAGCCGTCGGGGTGGGCGAGTTGCCAGCGGCACAGGGCACTCATGCGGCGCAGGCGGCCCTCTTGGCTGCAAAGGCTGGGAAAAGGGCAGGCAGTTCCTGCCGGCAGCCCGGATGCCATGGTGATGGGCTGCTGCCGGCATGAATACCCATGAGCGGGGGGGCTGTGGGGGGGCTGTGGCGGGGGGGGGAAAGGGGGAGGCCACGCCGAGCTGTGCCCTGAATGCAAAGACCCCGCTGCCACGTCCCGGCGGCACAAAGGGCCGCGGCCACGCGTGGGGCCACGGCACGACGCGGCAGTGCCCGGAGGCAGCGGGACCGGGTGACAAACGGAGGTGACCCCCCCCCCTCCCCGGTGCCGCGCCGGGGCTCACCGGGGCACCCCGTCACGCCACCCTGGGGTGCAGGGACTGGGGTCTGGGGTCAGGGTGGGATGGTCGGGGGGCTGGAAGAGGTTCCCTTGGCAACGGCCGGTCCCAGTTTCCACCAATCGATGTGGCGGCGCGGGCTGGGAGGGCTCGTGGCCTACATAAGCACCGCACGCCCGTGCCGCGCCGAAACCCGGCAGATGAGCTTGCGAAGCCATGGCCGGGCTACCGGGCGCCTGGCCCGTGGCCACCCGCTGCTGGGGCTGCGCCGCGGCTGCCTTCCTCCTCCTCCTCCTCACCGTGCAAGCTGGTAAGGGTGGCTGTGGCGGTGGGGGGGGGAGGCGCGGAGGGGGGGCGCCGGGGGTCCCGCTGCCCTCGCTGGGTGCCGGGGTGGGGCTCGGATGCGGCGTGGGTGTCCGGTGATGCCCATGGGTGTCCGAGCGCGGCTCGCCAGCGGCCGTCGTGGTGCCTGGGGAGGGAGGGATGCGGCTCCTGGATGTGCCGTGCCCCACGGCTCTGCCCCACGGCACCCGGGAGGTGCCGGTGCTGCGCTCGCCGCTGCCCCGGGAAGGCTTGGTGCCATGGGCAACCGTGGCCAGCACGGCGGGGCGAGGGGCTCCCGATCCCCTTCCCCAGCCCCACTCAGCCGGGTTTATGCCGGTGCTGGGAAGGATAATCCGCTGGCTCACCGTCCGGCAAGATGGGATTTGAGAAAGACGGGGCTGAATTCACCGCGGGGGAAGGATGCTCCGGGGAGGGGCTGTGAGTTGTGCCAGGCATGAAGGAGAAGAGGAGAAGGAGGAAGGCTCCCCGCACCTGTGGGACCGCTGTCATGGTCCCTCACCCCTGCTGGGAACACTATGGGGACACGGTCACCCCCGGTGAGCCGGAGCGAAAGTGGGGCCGGGCGGGAGGTGCTGGTTCACGGTGCCGGTGAGGACGCTGGCATTGCACCGGGGTGGCTGGTGTCCCCAGGCTGCGTGGACCGCGGGGACCCTGTCCCTGGGCGCGGGGGAAGAGCGTGCCTGGCTCCCCACACCCAGGGGCTCTCGTGTGTCCCCCCACTCCCCCGTGTCAGCCCGGGATGCGGGAGGGGTCGGGGGGCAACGCCCAGGGCTCGCTGTGCCCGCAGCGGAGACGCGATTGGGGCTGGCAGAGCGGGCTGTGGGCCAGCACTGCCCGGCACAGGGCCATTTCCCAGCACGTCCCAGCCTGGGACATGGTGGTCTCACCCCTTCTGCTGCAGAAAAGCAGTTTTTTGGCTCCCGAGGACACAAATGTCCCCATGTCCCCTTGTCCTCCCCACACCCCCTTGGCACCAGCTGGCCCTTCGGCACTGGGGGGAGCGGAGGGAGGATGTGCACAAAGCCACCTTTCCCCAGCCCCCCGTTAACCACGCATGCGCCCCACAGCCGGGCCCCACTCCGCTGTGCCCCCGGAGCTCCCGGGGTGCAGCACTGGGACTGTCCCATCTCCCCACAGCCCACAAAGCCGACCTTAGCGGTGACGCCACGGCGGCCACCATCAACCACTCGCTGACGCTGCTGCAGCGGCTGCAGGAGCTGCTGCAGAACGGCAACGGCAGCGACTCGGTGCTGCGGGTACGCACGGCCGCCTCCGACGAGGCCAAGGTCTTCCACACCCACCAGCTCCTGCTCAGCCTCCAGAGCGAGGTCTTTGAGAGCCTCCTGCGCAACCAGAGCGTCGTCACCTTGCACGAGCCGCCCGAGACTGCGGCCCTCTTCGAGAAGTTTATCAGGTAATGTGGGGACCCGGTGGGATGGGGACATCAGGAGGGATGCAGGTCCTCCAGGGACTGTGGGATGGGGACATCAGGAGGGATGCAGGTTCCCCGAGGAGAGCGGGATGGGGACATCAGGGGATGAAGGTGTTCTGGGGACCACCGGAGTCCCATGGGATGGGGGTGCCCAGAGGGATGCAGCCAGGGAGTGGAAATGTTCCCTTAGGGGATCGGAGGGACCCTATGGGATGAGCACGTTGGGAGGGATGCAGTCAAGGAGGGAGGATGCTCCCCTGGGGACCCTATCGGATGGGGATACCCCGAGGGATGCAGCCAAAGGAGGAGGATGCTCCCCTGGGGACCTTGGGGGGTCCCACGGGATGGGGACACCTGGAGAGACGCAGCCCAGGAGGGAGGGTGCTGGGCTGGGAAGGGGACAGGGATGGCGGGGGGACACACACACACCAGCGTCACCGCCCCAACGCTCTGCCCCAGGTACCTGTACTGCGGGGGGGTCTCCATCCTGCTGCACCAGGCCATCCCCATGCACCAGCTGGCCAGCAAGTACCGGGTGTGGGGGCTGCAGCGCGGTGTGGCTGACTACATGAAGACCCACCTGGCCAGCGAGTCGAGCCAGGGCCACGTAGTGGGCTGGTACCACTACGCTGTGCGCGTCGGGGACGCGGCGCTGCAGGAGAGCTGCCTCCAGTTCCTGGCCTGGAACCTCTCGGCCGTGCTGGGCAGCGCCGAGTGGGGCTCGGTGAGCGTGGAGCTGCTGCTGCTGCTGCTGGAGCGCTCCGACCTGGTGCTGCACAGCGAGCTGGAGCTCTACACCGCCGTGGAGGGCTGGCTGAGCCGCCGGCAGCCCGAGGGTCCCGTGGCTGAGAAGGTGCTGCGCGCCATCCGCTACCCCATGATCGCACCCAGCCAGCTATTCCGGCTGCAGGCGCAGTCGGCGGTGCTGGCGCGGCACTACGGCGCGGTGCAGGACCTGCTCTTCCAGGCTTTCCAGTTCCACGCCGCCTCCCCGCTCCACTTCGCCAAGTATTTCGACGTCAACTGCAGCATGTTCCTGCCCCGCAACTACCTCGCGCCCAGCTGGGGCTCCCAGTGGGTCATCAACAACCCGGCGCGGGACGACCGCAGCACCAGTTTCCAGACGCAGCTGGGTCCCAGCAGCCACGACGCCGGCAAGCGGGTGACCTGGAACGTCCTCTTCTCGCCGCGCTGGCTGCCCGTCAGCCTGCGCCCCGTCTACTCGGACTCGGTCTCGGGCGCCGTCCAGCCGGTGCGCATCGAGGACGGTCGCCCCCGGCTTGTCATCACCCCGGCCATGAGCAGCCCCGACTTTGCCGGTGTCAGCTTCCAGAAGACGGTGCTGGTGGGCGTGCGGCAGCAGGGCCGGGTTTTGGTGAAGCACGCTTACAGTTTCCACCAGAGCTCGGAGGAGGTGGCCGACTTCCTCGCCCACGCCGACTTGCAGAAGCGCACCTCCGAGTACCTCATCGACAACTCCCTGCACCTCCACATCATCATCAAACCCGTCTACCACTCCCTCATCAAGGTGAAGAAGTAACGAGGCAGAGCTGGGGTCTGCCACCGGACTGTCCCCAGCCCCGCGGCGGTGATGGGGGGGGGGGGGGGGGAGCGGGGGCTCGTGCTTGGTCCTCCTGCTCGTAGGTAGCCAGAGGGGCTCACACTGGGGGTCCCCGGGGCTGCGCTCCCCGCTGCCCACCCCTCCTTGATTGTCCCCCTGCCATGTCCCATCCCCATCCCTCGATGCCTGCGGGGTGCTGGGGATGGGGGGGGGACACACACTGGGAGCCCCCCCCCAGGGCCGTGCAGGTGGTGCAGGAGGCGAAATGTGCAGCCCACGGCCGCGGGCACATCCTGGGCTCACAGACCCCAATGGGTGGGGACAGAGACAGCCCATCCCTCCTGTGATGTCCCCCCCCCCACGGCACTGGAGTCCCTCTGTGCCGTGGCGCCGGGTCTGGCTGCCGGCTCGGGTACCCCGGCAGCGGCACCCCGGGGCTCGGCGGAGAGCTGGGAGCGTGCCCAGGCTGGGGTGGGTGGCCCGGCTGCCTCCCCTGGCAGCGGGGGGCTTGGGGGGGGGGCACCGTCCCCGCTCACGGCCCCCATCCCTGCCCAGGAACCCCCCAACCCCCTTCCAAATAAAAGCAGAAAACAAGCGTGGGGTGTGCGGGGGTGTCCTGGGGGGGGCCCCAGGGGTGGTTGCCATCAGGCTGTGCACAGTAGTCACACCACACCCCGGCTCAGTGCATCTCCTTTTAATGGGACCCCCGGGAAGGACAAACGCCCGTCCAGACGCCCCTCACCCAGGTGGTCCCACGGGGATCCGGTGGTGCTGGGTGGGCGGCTGCGTCCCCTGGGTGCTGAGCACCCACCGGGGCCCTTCCCGAGCACGGCTGCCTGGGGACTTGGGGCCCTGCCTCGGGGTGGGTTTGGCACAGGGAGGGTCGACCCCCTGCCCCTCGCCCCCCCCCCCCCCCCCCGAGATGTGCCGGTACCGGGGGGCTGCACAGGCACGGGGTGCCACAGACAGGGCTCAGCACAGGGGGTGCTGGGGGTGGCAGGATGGGTGCTCAGCCTGCCGGCTTGGCACGGGCTCCGGGCCCTCGGCTCAGGACCGGTGACCCCGTCCATCCGTGCCGGAGGCCCTGGCACCGTTCCTGGCGCCGCCGCCGAACCGCGGGCACTGGCCCTGCCCGGGGGTGGTGGACAGCTGGAGGGGGGGAGACCCCAGTACCTGGGGAAGGGGCACTTCAGCAGCAGCCTGGGGTGCAGGAAGGAAGGGGGTGGGGGGGGAACAGCCCCTGCACCCCATCCCCAGCCGGGGTCTCACCTGGCAGCTGGCTGAGTGGGGGCTTTGCTCCAGGCGGCGCTTTGGGAGGGGGGGGGTCCCCCCCTGCGTGCTGGGTGCCTGCACCCCTGCCAGCACGGCACACTCGGAACGGCTCTGCGGCACGGGGGCCGGCGGTGGGAAGCCCCTGAGGGCCACTGGTTGCCGGAGAGAGGGTCCGTGGGCACGTTGCTTTGTGGGGGGAACCGTGATGTGCAGGGGGGGCACGCACGCCGGAGGGCGCTGGCACCCCCCCCACCCCGGGGAGGGGTTGTGCTGGGTGCTCAGGCTGGCCACGCTGGCCCGTGGCTTGCTCTGCTGAGACACACGGCCCCCCCTAAGCACCCCCACTTTGGGGTTTTGGTGGCGTGGGCACGGCCGTGCTCACCTCCTAAGCCACCGTGCCGTGGCGGGGAGGGGGGGTGGCCCCCGCCGCGCTCCCCAGCCGCTCTCCCTGCGGGGTCTTCTGGAACACAAGGGTTGGGGTGCTGCTGGAGAGGGGGTACCCCCTCACCATCTGCTGTGGCAGCATCCTCGTGCGTGGGGGGGGGGGGGGTGATGGGGGGCCCACCCGTACCTGTCCCCCCCCAGGGGGTGCAGGGGTGGGAGGGTGTCACGGCGGGGTCCCTGCCGTGGTGCCACGGGGTGCTGGCAGCTCTGCGCTCGCACGCTGTCCCGCTCCGAGTCCCGCGGGCTCTCAGCGCCGCTCGCCTGCAGGATCTTGGGCAGGGACATGCCCTGGGAGGCGGGGGGACAGGGGGTGAGCGTCCTGTTTAGGGTGCAGCGGGGGGTTTGGGGTCGCCCCATCCTACCTTGAGGGCGCCGGTGTCCCCAGGGTCCCCCGCCAGCTCCCGCAGGTAGGTCTCGTACAGCTCCTCCAGCGCCTGCGGCACCGCCAGCCGGTGGTCTGCCGGCGAGAGGGCAGGGGGGGGGCGGGCATCAACCGGCCACGCCACGGGGCTATGTCACGACACATTGTGTGTGGGGGGGTTGCCACTGCGGGACTCCCAGTGCCACGACGCCCAAGAGGCCCCTTTGTCGCGGCAGGAGGGACGGGAGGGACGCACCGGCGATGAGCTGCCGCTGCTGCTGGATGATGCGGGCGCAGAGGGCTCGGTGCCGGTCGAAGCGCGGCGCGGTGGTGGCCGGCAGGTGCCGGAGGCCACCCTCGAGCAGGGTGGGGGAGCGCGTCTCTGCCGGCTCCAGCCCGGGCCGGTGCAGGCAGCAGAGCAGGGCCAGCACCTCCCGCGGCTCCTCCGAGCGGCTCCGGTGCTGTGGGGCCTCATCCAGCCACCGTGCGTGGTGCTGGCTCTGCCGAAAGCGCCGGGCCAGCTCTGCCTGCGGGCACGCAGTGAGGTCACTGTCCCTGCCTGTGGCCAGCAGCCCTGCCATGGGGTCAGCAGCCCTGCCACGGGGTCAGCAGCCCTGCCACGGGGTCACCGTCCCTGCCACGGGGTCACCGTCCCCGCCACGGGGTCACCATCCCTGCCCATGGCCAGCAGCCCTGCCACGGGGCCACCGTCCCCGCCACGGGGTCACCGTCCCTGCCCATGGCCAGCAGCCCTGCCACGGGGTCACTGTCCCTGCCACGGGGCCACCGTCCCCGCCACGGGGTCACCGTCCCTGCCCATGGCCAGCAGCCCTGCCACGGGGTCACTGTCCCTGCCACGGGGTCACCGTCCCCGCCACGGGGTCACTGTCCCTGCCCATGGCCAGCAGCCCTGCCACGGGGTCACTGTCCCCGCCATGGGGTCACCGTCCCTGCCCATGGCCAGCAGCCCTGCCACGGGGTCACTGTCCCTGCCACAGGGTCACCGTCCCTGCCATGGGGTCACGGTCCCTGCCGATGGCCAGCAGCTCTGCCACGGGGTCAGCAGCCCTGCCACAGGGTCACTGTCCCTGCCTGTGGCCAGCAGCTCTGCCACGGGGTCAGCATCCCCGCCACGGGGTCACTGTCCCTGCCACGGGGTCACCGTCCCCGCCACGGCCCCTGAGTATCCACGTCCCCCCAGGGCTGCTGGGCTGAGCCTTGTCGAACTCAGCTCACTGGTGACGGGGTTTCAGCTGCCGGGGGTGGGGACGGGGCTCCCAAACCTTCCGCTGCCGGAGCCTGCGCTGCTCCTCCACCAGAACCGCGATGCTCTCGCAGACAGCGACCACGTCTGATTGCTTGTCCCCTGTGTCCCGGTCCCCCTCGCTGTCACCGGGGCCGCCTGTCCTCCACCGCTCTGGGTGGGCACCGCGCAGCCGAACCTGGGCTGGAGGGACGGGGTGTCAGCGCCGAGTCCTGGGGGGGCGTGGGAGAGTGGGGGGAGCCGGGCCGTACCTTGGATATAGGGGTCCTGCCCCCGCTGCCCCGGCTCGGGGTTCCTCTGGCCCTTGAGGCGCTGGATCTCCCCGCGCAGGTCGGTCACGACGCTGTACGAGGCGCTGAGCGGGTTGTGCCTCACCTGGGACGGGGCTGGTGTGAATGTCCCACGACCCCGGTCCCAAACAGGGTCCCTGAGTGGGGTCCCTGAGCAAGGGCACGGCTGATGGAGCAGGTCCCCAAGAAAGTGCCCAAGTAGGATCCCTCAAGAGGGGTCCCCAGGCAGGACAGAGCTCACGGAGCAGGTCCCCAAGTAGGATCGCCAAGCAATGTCCCCAGGCAGAGCTTGGCTGTGACCCCATAGGATCCCCAAGCATTGTCCCCACGCAGTGCACAGCCATGGGGCGGGTCCTGAGCACCCCACAGGGCAGTGCCCGGAGCAGTTCCCCCCCCCCAGGGCACCTGTGGAGCCGCGTAGGGGGTGAACTCCTCCCTGCGGGGCTGCTCCGGGAGGGGGCCCGGGGGGAGGAGGGTCCCCACTCCCGGCCCTACCGTGGTGCGGATGCTCTGGGCGCGGTGGGCGTAGGCGAGGGTGCTGCGGGACTCCTCGAAGGCGGTGCTGGCCGGGCTGATGTGGGCGATCATCACCGTGTGGCTGTTGCCCCCAAGCGAGTCCTGGCCACCGAGAGTTCAGCTGAGAGGGATCAGGGTGGGGGACAGCCTGTGTGCCCCCCCAGCCCAGCTCAGACCCCGCTGGGGGAAGCCGGGACACACACACCCCCCCCCCCCCCCCCCCGCACACCTTGAGCAGGCGGGTCAGCTTGCTGTCGCGATAGTTGATGTACTTGGTGCTCGTCTGGTGGCTCAGGGCTTTGATGCAGTTGCCCAGGGCCAGCAGCGAGCGGTTGATGTGGGCTCCCTCCTTCATCCTCTGCCCGCGGTTCTGCGTCTGGGCGGGGAGGGGAAGGAAAAGGGAAAAACCTGGCAAAAGAGGGAGCCCCCCCCACACACACTCCCCTCCTTCCCCGACCCCCCCGCTCCCCCCTCAGGAAGGTGCCGTACCCGCGCCGCCCGCTCGGAACCCGCCAGGTCAACCATGACGAGGCGGCCGCGGCGCAGCCCCCCACCCTGGCGCCGCCGGCACACGGTGACCCGCAGCACCGCGTGGGACCGCGACGAGCTGCGGTTGGCGGCCGTGGGCTCCTGCGTCCGCTGCCCGTTCCCCCGCGCCAGCAGCTTCATCACCTGGGGCAGAGGGGCAGCGATGGGCGGGGGGGATCACCGGACAGCGCCCCCCCCCTTCCCCGTACCCCATAAGCGGGCTCACCTCTTCGGCGTTGATGGCGGAGACCTCGGTGATGCCGGCCACCCGGACGGTGCCACCGGCGTCCTCCCGCAGCTGCAGGTAGCCCAGCGAGGGGTTCAGCAAGTCCCGGATCATCTCGTTATAGATCTGGGCAGGGGGGAAGGAGCCGGGTACGTGTCCCCCCTCCCTGCCAGCATGGGGACCCACGGGGACACAGCATCCCACGCCGGGCACAAAGGCTTAGGGCCACGGGAGGGGGGGGGGACGGGGACGTCCCCGTGCACCCCCGCCGCACCTCGAGGTAGGACATGAAGACCTCGTACTCCACGTCCCCGCTGGTGTCCTCGATGGTCTGGAAGAGCTCACCCAGGGTGCGGGCACAGATGCCGGGCTCGCCGTCGGTGCCCAGCATGGTGTAGGTCTTCCCGCAGCCTGGGGGGAGAGGAGAGGGTGGGGTGGGGGGCTCGCTCAGGGCTGGGACCCACCCCCACCCCCCCCCCGCCAACCTTAAACACAGCCACGGGGCTGGCCCCTTCCCCAACCCCACAGCCCTCACCGGTGGGGCCGTAGGCGAAGACGGTGGCGTTGTGGCCGGAGGTGACAACCGCGACGAGGCTCTGGGTGGTGGCACGGTACACGGTTTCCTGCGGGAAGGTGAGAGGCCCTGGGGTGCATCCTGCTGCCCCCCAACCCCCCCGCCCC